ACAAAATCACAGATCAGATCTACAAAATGATTCATTTTTAAAGCTGATATAAGTCCATCTACCAAAACAAAGCTGCAAAATAGCCCTTTACAACCCTAATGAGTTAGAAGCTAAGTTTCATACTGATGTTAAAACTAAACTGAGTTAACGTCTCCGACATTATAATGGCCAGAATCGGTTTGATTGATATTTTTCACTCAGAATGCATTCTTCTCCCGCTTTTGTCTCCTCGCGTTCCAGCTCTTTCATCTTTTACTTCCATCTGTTTTCTCTCTCTCTCTTCACACGTCCGCTCCTGTGATGAGAACACAGAAGGAATTGTTTCATTTCAGCCTTCACCTCCAAAAAAAACACAAACATGAACTCATTGCTCTTCGGAGGGAGCTGCGTTCATTACTGCTCGCTTTCTGGTTTGTTCTCCAAGTTTGAGTTTTCTTCCAAGTTCTCTTAAAAAAAAAAGAAATAATTATCTTTAAATAGGTACCTCATGCTGGAGTTGCTGCTATGTAAACATTTGTGATGTAGTTTTTCTTGTATTTCTCATTAACTTTTTTTTTTCTATAAAGCCCAGAATTGCCGCATTCTCCCATTTTAATTTTATTACCATATTTTCTTTCTTGCAAAGCTCATAAATAGGAGATGGGAGTGGAAACATGAAAAAGCAATTCAAAACAGTCGCCTTGCTTGACATAACACTTTGAAACCCCTGCATTGGGTATTTTGGTATATTTCATTTCCGGTTCTCAGTTCACTCTGCATCACACAAAGTGATCTGATGTTCCGGGAGCTGATAGCAAATTGGATGATTATTTCCCACCTCGGCATTAGCAGGATGGGTATATGACAGACTGTGTGTCGATGCGCTGAGTGTGGAAGTGGGGTGTTTGCATGTGTGTGTTTAGTAATGAGCAGAGAAGCCTGGGGATTTAGGAAAACACTGGTGTTGCTTCCCTCTTATCTTTTGCGTTCTGATGCGCTGAGCTGCTTCGCTTTGCCTGCAAACAACTGCAGGGAGCTACTTAACATCTCTCACTGAGAATAAATAGCATGTTAGGGTTTGTGCGCTGTGTAACTTAACCAGCCTGTGTTTGTGCTGCTTTTCAATCACTTCATGTGGTAAATGGCAGGATGTGTATTTTTTTTTATTGACATACATAAATCCTTTCCCGTACCACATAATAATCCAGTACCTTTCCAAATATACTAATTTAGTCGTTTTACGGCGAAGTCACCTTCCTAAAATGAAGGCCTAACCCATTTAGAAAAATTTTTTGGTTTTTTGCCAAAAGATTATTTCCTCTGATCGGTCGATCATCCATCCGGTTTAGTCTTACACATTTAGCACACGCACTGGTTATGCCACCGCTGTGTGGCTGCGCTGTGGCGAATCTTTGTCCCATGGTGTGTAATGGTAATGCTGATATGCCAGTGTCCTGTTTCTCAGACCAAACCTTCGCCAGAGAGAGACAAAGACGGAGTGTGTGTTAGTGCGCAGCTTTGATAATCAATTCTTTTTAAGTTTTCTACTACCTCCACACATGCACACACATTTTCCACTTCACAATTATGCGTCAACACACATTGAGGTTTGTGGCTGAACGTGTACTTTTTTAAGCCACCATAATTGCAAATCAGGAAGAAGCCATCCACCGACAGGCTAATTCGAGACGATCTTCATGCCACCTGCTCGGATTTGTTCTGTCTCTGTAAAAAATCAATCTGATTTCTGCTCCCCTTCCTCTCGATTTCATCTATGTGTCTGTCAATGATTTCTGCTCCCCTTCCTCTCGATTCTCATCTATTGTCATTCCCAGTGAGACGAGCCGTAACTCCACTTTCTCTTTGGGAAATCTTTTGTCCCAGTCCATCAAACTCAAACCAGGAAAAACCCAATTCAGTTGAATCAACTTGAATATCTTCCTCAAGAGAAGAGAATAAGTGTTTTTTTTTCCCTCTAAACTTCTAACTTGTTTTGGCTGCTTGAACGTTTTTTTTTTTTTTTTTAATTATCACTCCTTCATGCTGATGGTTCATTTTCATACTTACATATTCACCGTTTTTGCATTGTCTTCTGCATTGGCTGTGGTTGTTATTGATTCCATGTCATCGTATTTCACCATCCTCCTTTCATATTGCTGGGAGTTTGTTTTTTTTTTTCTCTTTCTTATTTGATCTCCTTAGTTTACTCAACCCTGGCCTGGCCTGCCCTGCCCTGTGTGTTATGGCTGGTTGAACCGCAGATCAGATGAGATGGGAGGGAGGAGTCTCCTCACTGCTGTGATTTTTCTTCTATGACAGAGAAATTCAGACTTTTTTTTCATTGCCACATTCTATTCTGACTATGTCATTTGTGTGCTTCCTTCCTCGCCGTCATCTGAAATATCCGGTTCTTTTCCTGCTTCCACAAGTTAATTTACTTTTGTCTCTTTTTAACCTCGTACTACGTCTCTGCTGCCTATGTTTTCCCAACCCGCTCCACCTCTCCTTCCACCATCATGTCTGCTGTATTGGTTTAGAATCTCGTTGTGAAAGACGTGAAAAGATCTCCGCCGCAGGGACAGACAGCAAAAGGGGAGGGTCCGTCAGAAGCTGTTGAATATCTTATCAGAGAGCACGTAAGTCAACTCGCTATCTCATCCACAGTGTAAGTGGAGATCTGCAGCCTCGGAAACATGAGAGCAGGGCTCTGGTCACAGTGTGTGGGCTTCCACATGATAAATAATGAAGAGCCCCCAGTACACTTTCAGTGTTGCCTCGGCATATTATTTATGAAAAGGCCAAGCTGAACCACAGGACAGAGTGGTTGTTTTAAGGAGGATTATTCATACTGAAATCTGTCCATAATGATGACGAGGAAGAAGGAAACATTTGATTATTTACATCATTTTTCAAATGTTAAATAATTTAGGCAGGGTGCAACAGGTGTGAGCATCGACTACGACAACATGTGGCGGAAGGTGTTCTGGTCACGAGGATGATTTTCTTCAGCAGGGCAGGAGAAGCCGTCAGAGGTGATGGGAGATCGATGAAAGCTCGCAAATTTTAGAAAAAAGAAAAACTGCTAGAGGCTGCGAAGGCCATGAGTCTGAGGTGGATGTTGAAATTGTTTAGACCAAAACATATCATGTTTTAAAATAACCCAGTCTATAGACCAGAGCCAAATCCAATAGAGAATCTATGGGAAATGACATGTAATGTGTTGTAAGTGCGTCTCTTCTGGACCTGCAGTCATGTTCCTCTTTACAAGAGAAGTAAAGAGGACAAAAATAATTTTAAAAAAGTATTTAGAGCCCCCACAGTCTTAACCTTTAAAACGGTTCCTTCCCAGACTGAGAAAAATAAACAGCTTCTGCCGTTTCATCATCTTGTGAATTTGAGAGAACTGTGACACATTTCAGGAAAAGCACTTGACACGCCGAGTCAGCATTTTGTGTCAGAGCTTGTCGAGCTGTTTAATTGTCGAGGTAAAGTCTAGTTTTCTGTACACTCCATGCACCAGTCAGTCCGCTTAGCGTGCTACTCATGGAAAATCCGTGCAGGCTTAGAAAATTGCAAAGTCTAGTTTGCAGGAAGGACGCCTCAGTCAGGTTCCCATCACAGACGTCTTGTGTTTTGTGTCTCATCATAAAATGAAGTGGATTGAAATATAAGAGGAGTAAATGTTTTTATTTACATGCGTTCAAAGTTTTAAAGGAATATCACCAAAGGATCAATGTGTAGAGACGTTAGCTGTTTTGTTTTCAAGTGAAATATATTTGTACTTTTATTTTTAATAGTTAAAAAATTTAACTTATTTGTTAAAGGCTTTTTAATGACAGCTGTGGTACCTGAACAAGTACATTGATGTCTCTAATGGAAACGTCCAGCACCAGTTTTCCATTTGTTGCCAGAGCCGAGCCGAGAGTCCGAGCCGACAGCTCCGACACGCGTGCTGCCAGAATCGATGGCTCCATTATCAGGGGTGTCCTATTGATCAGTTCGGGGCTACTAATAGCCCGTTTGCCCCCCTGAACAAACTGGCATCCGAGTGGGTTTGAGAGAACGGGGGAGGGTGAGGACAGCCCAGCAGGAGATGGAAACGATGGAAACTTAAGTGGTTGGAAATGGGCTTTCGGTAGGAGGACGAGGTGGTGAAGGAGAAAGAGCAGGTGGAGACCCATGGCGAGACGGAGAATCAGACAAAAAAAAAGCCCCTGTGCTCGTGTGACTGCTGTTCGTGGCTGTTTGTGATGATGGAGATTCATTTCAACTTTATGTTTCCATTGTAATCTGAACAGCTGTTTGTCATTCCCTTTTGCTCGACCCTCTCCACCCATCTCTCCATTCCTCCTTTTGTTGTTGCTGATCAGCACCAGAGAGACAGACAGGGAGACGGAGAGTAGCCTGTTTCCATGGAAACGTGCTGAACCAGATAAGCTTGGTTTCTTGCACTGCAGAGTATGCACTGTGTGTGTTTGCATGATGAAGGTCTGTTTTTGCCTCTTGAGAGAAGGAATGATGATTGATTAGAGTCTGATTCACTGGGTAGAACAGATGCTTGGATGAACAGAATATAAACTGAAATATGAAAAAAAAAGTTATTTTTCTTTTAAATGGCTTCTTACTTCTTTGGACGTCATCTGACTTTGTATTTAAACATCTCACTGATGCGGCAAATGACCAACTCTAAAATTGTGCTTTCGGAGCCCCATAAATGTCTTATTTTTGTAGCAAATGAATATGTAAAAGAGCGAGACATGAAACAAAACAAGACTCTCTCTTATGATACATTTATCATTTTGCTATTTAGTTAGATTTTTCTTTCGCAATTTGTCTTAGACCCACACTTTAGTCTCTAATAAAAGACCTTGAGGACGACAAAGATTTTCTTATTAGCAGAGCTGCAGCCGCTTTGCTGCTGTTTCTCTCGATGCTTGTTGTTTCTGACCGATTTAATTCTGAACAGAATCGAAGAGGTGCAACATATTGCTAATGAGAATGTCACTCTGTCTCTGCTGCAGAACTCCCAGAAGAAAAGAGGAGCACGGTCCAGCAACAAACCGGACAAGAAGCCTGCTCCACAGGTAAGTCTTAAACTGGGACAGGGGAAAAACACACTCACTGCTTGGAGGGGGGTTCCTCTGAGTGCTTCGAATAATCGATGAGAGAAACACACCGCTGTCTCGGGAGCCAAAGCCACTTAAACCTGCGAAGACATGGACATTGATCCGGCATGCATCCACACACACCACAGAAAGGAAAGTGAGCAAGAAGTAAATTAGTTTTTACAAAGGTATTGCTGGTGTTTCTTCTCTGCCACTCATTTCATTCTAATTAAATAGTTTTACATCAATGTTTTAACATCAGAAATGCAAAGAACGGTTCATTTTTGGTCTTACGATGCCTTGTACTTTTTGTAGCAAATGAATATGTGATTTGTGGTTATGATCTCATAACCACAAATCACTACTGCTATCGTCATCAGGTCAGAAAGGCCCTCGTGTACGAGGTGAACACCCAGCAGAATGAAATGTGTTGAGCGTTTGCGGGCATTTCTTTTCACCAAAGTCTCTGCTGTGCCGCTAAGATGTGCCTTGGCTTCCCCTTTCAAACCACATACCATAAATGGCTGTAAATTCAGCTGCCCTCGCTTCGTTTAATGTGGTTGGAACCGCTCCACAGGCCGTAAAGCAAACACAGCCACAGAGCTGCTGCTGGGGAATGTGTGCACTCGGTCACCTGAGGTCAGCTGCAGCAGGAGCAGCAGGTTTTGGAATGAGAGCGAGATGCATTCAGGTTCAAATTTTAAAGTTATTTCCCCCCCCCCCCTTTAAAACAAGAAGGCTGAACGAGAAGTTTCCTCGACAATTCGCGAGCACATCGATGTTCTTCTCGCCATCGAGGTAGCGAATGGTCTCTGCAGATGATAAATGGCGTCTGAGTCAAACCACTAATGAGTGTGTTTGCTGATGTTTTCCCCCTGAGCTTTTTATTCTTGTAATTCAAGCAAAATACAAACGCAGCAGGACTCCGACCTCAACATTTAGTGGCTTCGGTCCACATGTCGGTCAGACAGAGCTTTGGAAATGTCTTTCTTTAAAGTTTAGAGTTTGTTGGAGAGACTTTCACTCTTGTCAAAGATGACGTGAAAACACTGGTCCGGTTTGAAAAGCGCCAAAATTCATGCATTTCAGGACTTTATTTTGATGGTTTCAAATGCTACAGACACAAAGTGGAGCAATCCTGTGCTTGAAGAGATCTGACTTCAAGCACAAGACAAGACAGCGTCTTTGTCGTGGTCCCCTCAGTGCTTTTCTTTCCTCTGTCATGTCACTGCAGGAAGACAATTCAGACCTGAAGTGTCAGCTCCACTTTGCCAAAGAGGAGTCGGCCCTGATGTGCAAGAAGCTGACCAAGTTGGTGAAGGACAGCGAGGCCATGAAGGAAGAGCTGGCCAAGTACAGGTCTCTATACGGAGACGTCAACAGCTCGCTCACCGTGGAGGAGGTGAGAGGAGGATGGAGCGCTAGGACTCACAGGCTACTGACTGCACGACACGAGTTACTACCAGGCTGGTTGTAAACTCAGCCTGCAGAAGTAGAGAACACATTCATCTTTGTTTTCCAGGACTGAGTATGGAGACTGAAAATAAGGATGTGTAAAAATATTTGCTTTTCCAGACTTTATTTATTCAAATGTCTGAAAGTCCTTTCACCTATCCTTCCTTCATTGTTTATTGCTTTTCTTATTTCCTCTTTTCTTCCTTCCCTCCTAGACTTTTTTGTTTCCTTCTCTGTTTTTTTTTCTTTGTTGTGACCTTCCTTTTTTTCTTCCTTCCCTTTTACTCAACAATTTTTCCCTGCTTTCCTCTTTCCTTTTGTTTTGCCTCCCAGGATAACAATTTTCTGACATTGGGTCCGAGACCCCACCCATCCATCCATCCATCCATCCATCCATCCATCCATCCATCCATCCATCCATCCATCCATCCATCCATCCATCCATCATCCATCCATCCATCCATCCATCCATCCATCCATCCATCCATCCATCCATCCATCCATCCATCCACCCATTAATCCACCCATTAATCTATCCATCCATTGTGACAACAAAGAAAAATTGTATCTGGAAAACTTTGGTATTTAAAATTTTCTGGAACTCCATAAAAAATGTTGCAGCTTTGCTGCTTGTTTTGTACTAGTTGTGGTCATTACAGTATTAGTGAATTATAGTGGTAAACTATTGCATTTCTTTTCTTCCCACAAAACACACAAGAGGCATATAAAGCTGCCTGAGAAAAACCCTGCAGAGGAAAAGCTGCATTGCTTTAAAAACCATCAAAGCACTATAAAGCTAAACTCAAACTTTTTGTATTTTATTAAACAGATTCTCATTTCTTAACAACTCAGTAGATTTTGAATTGCTCATATATGCATGTATTAACTTTTTATTTTCTTTGAAATCTTTAAAAGTGGTTAATTAACATTCATCAAAACCAAGCAGGCATGAATAACGGCTGAGTTCAAAATAACTTAAAACAGTACGAGCAATGCAAACATACTCTTAGCTAAACATTTTCAGGCAAACGTGTCGAGATGCTTGTGGTCACCATTTGCCCTGTTCGACTCGTCTCAGGTTGCCGACTCTCCGCACACTCGCGAAGCTGAGGTCAGAGTTCACCTAAAGCTAGTCGAGGAGGAGGCCAACCTGCTAAGTCGACGCATCGTGGAGCTGGAGGTGGAGAACAGGGGACTCCGAGCCGAGATGGACGAAATGAAGGGCTCCCAAGGTGGTTAGTCCTATTAGTTGTTTTGTTTTTATTTTATTTCCTTCGATTAAAAAGTAAAAAAAAAAATAGAAACCCTGAAAAATAATATGACATATAGTCATGTTATTTGACATAATGATAACATTGCACGTCTTGCATACGGCACACATGTACACATTAGATGAAACTTAAACCTCACATTCTCATCATTGACTGTGTAATTTACATATTATTAACAATTAATATTTCCCACTCTTTTTCCCTTTTTTGCACGTTTACCCATCCTACACTTCTTTACTGTTCACCTCGGGTGCCAGGACTAATTTTAAAACGGTTAAAAAAAATCTATAATCCAGCTCTTTCCTCGTGTGAAAGTAATGACTGTCTTTACTCCCAGAAGGCCATCAAGAACTTTCTAGCGTTGGTCCAGGGGCCATGGTGCTTGGCGGAGGGGCCTCGTCCGAAAACGTCATGGAGCTCCAGAGGCACCTGCAGTTTGTGGAGGAGGAGGCCGAGCTGCTGAGGAGGTCTCTGATCGAGATGGAGGAGCAAAACAAACTGCTGATGAATGAGATCAACCGCTACAAATCCGAACTCCCGCCTGCGACGTCCGCGCTGTCCACCGAGTCGCTGCTGTCTCTGACGGACGGGCTGCTGAACGACAGCCACTCGGTCCAGGACGGGGCCGTGCTCATCAGCACCGACACTCCGACCCCGGAGGAGGAACTGAGGCTGGCGAGGCTTCAGGTGGGAGAGCTGAGCGGGAAAGTGAAGAAACTGCAGTACGAGAACCGCGTGCTGCTGTCCAACCTGCAGCGCTGCGATCTCGCCTCGTATCACGCTCCGTCTTCCTCGTCCTTGTCGAGGCTAGCTTTGGAGACCGATGCAGAAGCAGGAGACTCAGCAGAGTGCCTCCCTCTCAGGTATGTGTAGATGTTGTTTTCCAGTGCTTCTTTCTGCATACTGTTATTGCGGCACCACTGTCTCTCAAGTCAATTTGTAAAGCGCATTTCAGCAGCAAGGGAGCTCAAAGTGCACTGTACAAACAATATTAATGAATTAAGAAACCAGAAATAAACATTAGATTTTATCAAATGTCATCATCAAAATCACCACCATCAAATTGTTGATCAATAGAAGGACTTTAGAGCTGCTGTGATGTGCTCCGGTATCACTATGATAGCATGAGAAAATAAGCTTCTAAACCCTTGACTCTGGATTTGATCTAAAATTGTGTTTTCAATGCAAAGTTATTGGTATATATGTAGTAACACTTTGAATGGTCTAGTTGCACTTCCAAACCTTTAACCAGTGATCTATAACTATGATCTGCACAGTATTTTTTGATTTTATGTTTTTGTTTACATCAGGGATTACATCAGGGATTCAGCTGAGAATCAGCAGCCAAAATGTTTTGTCCAGATATTTGTCAGTAAAAACACATCAGTTAAGATTTGTGGAAAATCAGACTAAAATCCATGCAAAAGCTGAACGTAAACAACCAGTTTGAAGATGTAGCGTGATCTCAGCTATGAAATTTGGTTCTGTTGTCGCATTTGACATCATATCAGCACACTGAAACAAAACTACAAATCATCTCTTTAGTTTTAGTCACTTTTCCTTTTTCCTTTTTTTTTTACAATACCGAAATCTTCTTCCGTAACGGCTGCATAGGCGATAAAAGAGGTCTCTCTTGTTTCTTCATCAGCCCGCCTCATCGCAAAGAGCCAGTAGGTGGTGAGAACGACGCCATGGAGATGGATGAACAGAAAAAGAAGATCGAGGACATCGCTGAGCCAATGACTCCACTCTCTGGGTGCCTGGGGCAGAAGGACCGTGATGCCTTGTTGGCCCTGAGGGACCAGGCTCGTTTGGTTTCCACTGCCATACAGCTGCTGACCTCCCCCGAGTCTAACTGCCTGTCCTCCTCCTCCTCTCCTTCGCTGTATCACAAGGTCTGCAGCAATGAGGCAGCAGAGCCGTGTGACCTCGAGAAAACTCAGCCTCACTGCCAGGTTCGCGCCCTCGGTTTGGTCTGTTTCTGAATGTGTCACATAAAATTTTATAACCTTTAAATCTAATTTCATTATTACACTACTTGATCCCCTCTATCTCCGTCGGTTTTGTCAAACCGTGTGACGAAGGTTGCGCTTTCCACTCCCCAGATCTCGGAGCTTTCCGATTTGGCGGACCGTCCTCTAGTTGGTGCTCTGACCAGCAGGCTTCAGGCCCTGCACACCCAGCTGCAGGCCTTTGTAGAGCAGGTGGACGGCTTGGGTAAACCTCCGGCTGGGGGGAGAGACGCTCTGGTGGAAGGGGCGTCCCCTCCAGCGTCACCCTGCGCTTCCATCCCCTGCTCTGGAGACGGCCAGGATCAAGACAACAGAGTCGAGCACAAGGTAAAAATACATGAAGCACAGTCCTCTCCTTCACTCCTTACCACTGTTTTGTTTGGATTCATTCAATTTTAAGATAATTATATTTCTCAAGTATGTTTCATTCTTGTTGGTTTGTTGTTGTTCTAGTGCCTTCTTTATTCTAGCATTATTTTTGGCCAACATCTCTCTCAGTCCCATTCCACCATGCTTTCTTTTTGAGTTTCTTTGCACTTTGCAAAAATGAATTTACACAGCATGCTCAAATCTGCAGGAACATCCTGGCCATGTCAGCTGTTTAATTGGAGTTGCTGTTAATCCAAATTCACAATTTTCAATGCTCATTATGCATAGGCCGGAAAGCCATGGGACTCATTCCGGTCTCTGCAGAGTCCGTGTATTAAGTCAGATTTGAGCTGCCTGTGTAAAAACACATAATAAAACAAACAAACAAAAAACCTCTGCATGTCCTCTGCATGCTGTTTTAATGCTTCCTAACATGTGTTTAAATGCTGCTTGGTGCCTCAAATGGAGCCAGTTGCCTGGACATAGAGAGGTTATCAAATATTGTTCCTTCATGTCAAGCAATCCCACAACCGGTGTACGTGGACTATAGGACTGTGCAACTGTGTCCATTCGTATTATACTTGGGAGGACTGACTTTATTTGAGTTTCACATCGTGAAGTCTTAGTTGGTTCATGTTTGTTTTGTGTCATGACAACTGGATGATTTGATTGTGGATCCGCAAACACAATTTACAAGAAATACTTTGAGATTCTGAAATATCAAGAAGGGATGAGAGAACATTAGAACATTTAATAGTTTGTTTTTTTTTTCTGGCTGGATTTGGAACCTGCACAGCTGTTTGAAAAACCTAGAGACAAGTTTCAATTATTTCAGATCTATATTGCTGTCTTGGTGGGGATTTTTTCAATTATTATTGTCAGTGTAAAACTCAGCAGAGATTTTGAATTAACTTCAATTGTTCTGTGTTTAAACGACTTTACAGATGGACGTCATATTTTCTTAGACATCACCAATGGGTAATTCGGTTCGATAAGATGGAGTAATCTGCTGAAATTTCTAAGTAAAGTTAGATCACGGCATTTCAATTCCAAAAGATTTCATTGAGCTGAAGATGGAGACTTTTAGGACTTGATGAACCGATTCAATAGCAAAAGAGTCGTGCATCGTAAAATCATTTTTCTCTTCTGATCTGGTCTAGTTTCTTGGCTTTTGAGAAGGTCTGATTAAATTATTAGTAGATTCAAGTGACAATACTCCATTAGAGGCCAGTTCCAACCCCTCCTATCTCTCCTCCCTTGTCCTCCCTCTCTTGTCCCTCCTTCTGTCTGCATGGGCTCCATATCCGATCGATTTCCGCTCTTGGCTTCCCGCTCCCTCCTGCCCCCACACCTTTCACACCACCTTTTTTTTGCCACCACTCATGCATGCTCACTTCCATTCCTTCCTTCATCACCTTGCTTCTCTCTGACCTCTCCTTACGCCCCTCACCTCTTTTGTTCCAACTCGTCCCTTTTATTGCTTCACGTCACGCGTTCTCTCTCTTCTTCTGCACCTTATTGCTCCCTCTGCCCTTCGCTCTGGCCTTTCATCCTAACTGCCTTACTCCTTCTCTTTCCCTTTCCATTCCTTCTTTTCTTCTTCTTTCCCTCCCTTCGTTATCGCTCGTTCCTGTTTTAACCCTGTATTGCCATCTGTTGCTCTACCCTGTGTCCTCTTCCATTAAAAATGTTCCCTCCTTGCCCCTCAGCCGTTCATTCTACCCTCCATCGTCCTTTTCTTTCTTTTCTCCACACTTTCATATTCCTCTTTGACCAAGCTCTTCTTCATCTACATCCTTTTCTTTGTCTTGTGAGGCCCATAAGTTTTTTCTCCCCTAGTTTTCTCGATGTCTCACTGACGGGACACCATTTTGGTTGTGTTGTGTTTTTCTTATTGTTGTCATGATTTCTGTCACCTTCCATTTTTTTTCCTCCCAAAATGTCTCCTCCCTCATTCTCTATGTCTTTTCTCTATGATTTTTTTGTTTGTGTTTTCTTTTTCTTTTTTTTTTCTTCTTCTTCTTCATTAACTTGCCCATGCATGCAGCAGCCTGATTATAGGGACCAATCAGAACCAGACGAGAAAGATGACACTTACCAGAGCAGCCAGTCCATCAGCAACGACATGCAAAATCGGGCAGCTGGACAAACGGAGCAGGAGAAGGAGACGGATCGTTCCACGGTACGCTCGATCATGAACAACATGACAGCAAACAACTCATGTCAGAGACCCAATATGTGCGCCTCTGTGCATCTCTTGGCTGAAAGCCAGCACCATTTTTTACCCAGACAGCAACAGAGGTCCCACCAAAAACCTAAACATAAAACTTTGACCAGAGTAATACTTTAGCCAAACAAAATAAAGTACACCCCCTTTAAATTCTAGGCACTTGCATGCTTTTCATATTTTGTACATATCTGGGATTTCTGGTACTTAATTTTCCAAACATTTATATTTTTACTTTCACAAGACAAGATCATTTATGAACCTACAACAGAAAGAGGAGGTTCTATAATGTCGCTTTACAACGTCTCCGCATTACATTGGGATCCATAAAATACAGTAGCTACCTATTCAGGCCACTGTAAATGGACAGCTCTGTTTGTGTGAGCAGTCATCAGAATGCCAGAGATTATCGGCTCCATAATCGGGCCGATATTAGTTACCCATGTTTATCTATACGTGATTCTGGCCGTGAGCCATGTAGTATTTGCTTGAGCTTGTGGCACTGATAATGGTGCAGCACAGGACTGTGGGATGTCTAAACAGAGAAGCAGGATGTGGTTGCTTTCTTTACAGTGCTGACATAATGGTTTTAATAGTCTGCAGTTATAGAACGAAACAGGTCTAGTTCTATAACTTATCATTGTTTCCTTTTTTTCACTCAGAAAATATTTGATTTTATCAGGTTGACCTGCAATTTCAAGAAGTAGTCGGTATTGAGCTGACCAGCGATTTGTTTACCAGTTGTACCTGAATGCACCATGGAAAGGCGACTGTTGGAAAAACCGCTGTCATTGGATGGACTCCCATTAGAAGGACTCACATTGCTTTCTGAGCTGGTGTAATGCAACAGGCAGCTGGATCTGAACTTAAGCCTGGTTTCTTGGTACCAACAGTCTTCAAATCATTGATACCCGATGCACCAGTGCCCATTATAATTAATTATATTGGAAGCTGAGATCTCTGAAATGTTTTGGTTTCATTTTCTATGGTTGTTCGTATCCTTCCATCCTTACCATTGGTCAAAGTTTATTCCTGAAGCAACCTCTCTGCTGCTGTTTTACCAGTGCATTACGAAGCACCGTGTACCCGGGAAGCTAATATTTACAATTTCGCTAGAAAGTACATTTACAACCCAAGACAAAAAGAACATCCCCTGAGGATGTTGTAAGGTTTCAAGATCAGTTACAACAACTACGATTTCAAATCTGACTATGATTTAGAGCTCTATAAGCATTTCATAGAAATGATTGATAACCATATAAACTAATTCATCAAAGCCTTTTCAATGCCATAGCTGCAAATGGTTGTGCTAGCTGGAAGATTTGGGTGAGATGCCACGCTGTGTCGGACAAACTTTATTCGCAAACAAAATAAACAGTTTTGACACTGTCCAGCAGCGGTAAGAAAAGACGTTTGCTTGACCTTTTTCAGGCTGTGCTCCCGTGGCGACCAAGGCTTCATGTATCTGCATCTTTATCCACGAATATGAGGGTGAATAGGTCAGGGAAAATAAACCGAGAGAGGCAGATAAGTGGAGGGCAATGATAAACAGAGGATGGCAAGAACCCAGAAATTGGTGTTTAGTGCTGAGCTTCAGGGTCAAGCATGCAAAAGTAAATCTGGTCTGTCCATCTGTTCAACAGGTTTTAGTGTGACAGCACAGATGTATTCTTCCACTCAGATTTCCCCACTGAAACCTTCAGCTTTAGATTATGTTTGAATTTGCAGATGAATATGTATATAAACTCATATTCTTTCACAGTGATATTCATTAGAATTACTGTATTTGGACCCAATTTCTTTATGTAAATGACTAGTTTGTGAATGAAATAAATATTGCATCAATTAGTTCCTCTTTTTTTTCATATATACTTTTTTGCACCAGAGTCATTTTGTAACAGAAAAAGTAAATTTTTTTTTTTTTTGTGTTAGCGGGACGTAGCTCTTGGTTGGGGATGGTGGAGACAGAGAGCCCAGGGGAGGGTAAAAAAGGACATTCATGGTGCAGTGGAGGATGGATTACACTCACTCAGCTGCTAAATGAGCCATGGGAGAGTGCATGAGTATAGGTGGAGGAGGTTTGTGAAGACTTACAGTAGACTTGTACTGCTCAGGGTTTATTTAAAGGCAATGTGGCACATCTGTTTTCTTTCATCCAAAGGATCCATTTTTGTCATTTTTTTTTGTCAATTCTCCTTAGTCACTACTTCTCCAGTTATTTACTCTTTCCACATGTTTACTTATTAGTTACCCTCTGTCATAATTGTCATCTCTCATTTCTTTTTCTCTCCAGTCTGTCCAGCTCAGTGACCTGCAGGCGCAGCTGTCCACAGAAAAGGACTCAGCCAGAGGAACTCTGGAGGAGCTGGAGAGGGAAAGGCAGAGCCACAAAGGAATCAGCTTGAGACTCTCACAGGTCAGTTTAAAGGAGAGGTAAACAATCATAGTAAGTTTGCCCCAAAAATTTAGTTTTGTTGGATCAGTGTGTTTGTGTCCTATGGCTTGAACTCCCGAATCTCAATGTTTTCAGGGTTTACGCTCAAGAATAAGCAGAACCGCAGACTTCTATTGATTTCTTCTGGCTGATATTCACCAGATTTGTGGGCTGCTTGACAGTGACAGTGATGCATCAGGCTTAGACCTTCCCTGACTGACTACGTCTCCTTCTCAGCTCCAGGAGGAGCACCAGAAGGCCCTGCTCAGACGGGACTTCCAGCTTCAGAGCCTGGGCCTGCAGGCTCGCCTTCAGCAGAAGCTGTGGGTTCAGGAGAGGACTCTGCTCGTTCAAGAGTCCCAGCACTTGAAACAAGCTCTGTTGCTGCTGAGTCTGAAACTGCGCTGCTTCCTCAAACAGTGGAGGCTGGGCTGCAAAAAGGATGCAGAGGGGAAAGATGTTTTGGAGGTATGAGTGGATGAAAAGCAGAGACATTAATTAAAGCTGCAGCATGTAACTTTTACTTAAAAAAAAAAAAAATTCACATAACTGTTTAAACTATATCAGACAGATAATGTGAGACCAAAAAAAAAAACAAAGAGCTCCTCAGCTTTCCTTTATGGTCCTCCTTTCACAAGCACTGCTCTGTCAGAAACAACCAATCAGAGCCAGGAGGAGGGCCTTAGCGCTGTCAATCACTTTTGTTTATGTTTTGCTCACATCCTTTCTCTTGCTCTATTAGCCTCGTAACAAACATGTAGTAAAAATCTGTAAAAGTTACATCCTGCAGCTTTGAGATGTTATTTCAATTTGTCCAAGTTGCAATTTCATTGATTTATCCTGTTTTATGAGAACTGATGGTTTTGCGTTATTTAGTCACATAATCGATCAAAACTGTTTGCTGCATTTGTCACAAGATAAAACTAAGACAGGACATAAAACACCAGTCCCTAAAAAAAGGCTCTGAAACATTTCATTGATGATGTGCAGCTATGAAACAGGAAGTATTTTGAATGGGTCTTTTTTTTGGTTGAGGAACTATTAGAAAGAGTCGAGGTGACGCTACACTTTGATTGGCTCCTTAGATGAACAGCCTGAAGGATTTGTACCTGCTGCTGGAGGAGGAGAGCCAGACAGACAAGAGAGCCTCTGCAGACGAACAGCCTCTCAGCCCGACTATAAAGGCAAGCAGACCAGCACACACACACAAAAATGCACAGGACTGGCTGAGGTTTTGAACAGCTTCTTGCATTTTGCTCTCACAGTGACATGTGTGCATGACAAAACACTTAATAGATCTGTCTGTGTGTTGCTACAGTCAAGTGCTGTGAGTAGCACTTTGGCAGACCTAAAGGTTGCTCTGCAGGACCTGAGTGCAGAGTTGAGACAAGAGAGACAAGGCTCCCAGGAACTTACTCAGCAGTTCGCAAAGGCCAAAGCATCGTGGGAGGTGGAGAGAACCGAACTGAAGAGCCTCATCACGCAGGTAACAGAACAGCAGAACAGAGCTGCTGAAGAAATATTTTTTTAAAATCACTAAGTTTGACAAACACAATTTTTTATCTTTTTTTTTTTTTTTTACTGATATCATGATGAGCAATGCTTGTGAAAAGAGCTGGAGAGAATCAAAAGCAAGAAAAATGGAAGGGAGCTAGATTGTTGAAGATCAAGAGGGTTTTGCAATTCATGATTTAATTTGGTTTCATGAAAAAATGTAATTTTAGAATTTGCACGTTTGTGCGGCTCCCTGCAAATCAGTCCAGCTCTACAACTTTGACTGCAGGGCTGAACATTCAGAGCAGACTTTTTTATATTTTATTTTTTTTGGTTTTCAGGAAGTAAAACTGCATTTTTTAGAAAGGTGATAAGATGAGGTGTAGAAGCATAAAATAAGAAATGTGTGAGAGTACTAAACCAGCTCTACTAACACAAACATTGTGACTTTTTGCTGACCTCGGGGTCAGTTAGCTTATTTGTCTGTAAAACCTTTTCCAGCTCCTCTCAAGCTTTGGGAGGAGCTGGACAGGATTTTACTGGCTCCTCCCCCTCTTGATTGTCTTTGTCTCGCTGTCTGTCTCATAACAGCGGCTGAAGCTGTAATAGTTTTAATTATCAGCCTCTAGAACACACCCTGTGTGCAACGGAAGAATGAGAGATAAATTATTGCAGACAGAGAGGCCTATTAAAACAGATAATTGTATGGTATTTTCTCTTCTTTCTTTTTCTAAGAATGTATATCTGTTAATGCATATTCTGTCCTGGATGTAATCGATATCAAGTTGCAGGTCAGATATGTTGACAGTTTCCTCCAGGAATTGATTATGTGCATTTACTGCCCCGCATTTGTTTCATGCTATTGTTTTTTTGTGTAGTTTCACTTTTAAATATTGAAGACGTTAAACACAAATAATATTTTGGGTGGAAAGGGTAACGTAGAAATATTATAACCCCAATGAGAGTTTTATTTTGCATTTGAGCCCATCTGTAGGAAGAAATGCCTTCGAAAGTACCTGTGACGTCATTTACCTGTAAAAAAAAAAATGCATACGTTGCTGTTGTAATGTATTAGAAAAAAAACATCTTTATAAAAAACCACCCATCACCACATTGCAAGTTAAAGATAATTCACTGAAAAATGACAGGAAGGGGGGGAAAAAATCGCATATTATTCATGAATTCAGTAAGCGATCCCGCAGTGGAGGATTTTCTCCTCGTTATCTGGGTTTTCTCAGCACACAAACCTAATAATGCTCACAGAGACGCACGCCGACACCGACAGCCGTCGTTAATCATTCCGACCTCGACGGGTCAGGCCTCATTCTCGGATGCTAGATCATTTATCTCCTGATCGCCAGTCATAGATGAGAGCCTGAGTTCAGAGAGACGAGATGCTTTTCCCTTCCCTGACAGCAACCTCTTTGGTATTAATTGTGAAATGTAATTTGTAATGTTCGAATTTTTATAGTGCATTCTGGAAAGTGAAACAAAAATAGTTGCATTATTGTGAAAAGGCTTTAAACCACCTGTCATATCTTTATACTGTATGTACGAGACAGAAAAACTGTCGACGGAAAAAATGGGGGCCGAGAAAGACTTTTTTTAAACATTTTTAAATCATCGTAATCTGTAAAGAAGTGAGGGATTGCTTCATCTGACAAGACCTGAACTCTCCCACTTGGATGTGTCTGTGTGGGTGTGGCTCTCATATAGATGCCACATTTGGAAGTAATCTTTTCTCTGCCAATGATGTAAACTGTAAAGTGTGCAGCGTGGGCATGTGTCTGTTCTTTGTGTGTGTGTGTGTGTGTGTGCAGCCATACAACAAACAGCCGACCACATCAGTGCCAAGTCTTCCTGGCAACTCGCAGCAGGTCCTCCAGCTGTTGCTTCACTGAACAAGTCAACTCAATTTCAAACACTGTCCTTCCTGTCAAACAGCCTGGCAGGAAATTATCTTCACTGTTCGACCTGACAAACAAACCCAGTCAGAGAGGGAACAAATGATCTCAGGATCCCTGAGCGCTTGCAGGACAAATCCAGCTTTCTTCCAGCGTTCAAAGGCCTGAAGCCCCCCTATTGACGCTGCCTTATATTGTTTAATGCAGGTCATCTTCTTTATTGTTGCAAACATCTCTGTGATGACAAGTTGAGCAGCTGGAAGCTCTTATTGCACATTCATCACATCTGTGGCATTAACTTCACTCATGTAGGGAGGAGGACATCTGCTATATTAATTTGAAAGTCAAGCGCAGTTGCAACATTCTGGTCTGTTTGTTTAATGTGTGATAAAACACATGCAGCTTAACCAGAAACATACTTAGCAATGTCTCTTTGTGGTTCCTTGTAGGGATCCGAAAAGACATATTTGATTTAGTTTTATGTCTTTATTACTCCTGCATCTTATCACGGGTGCAACTTGTGATTATGTTACTAATCCGTTGATTATTCGATTATTGTGAAGGTTAACCGGAGAACCATTTAAATCTTTTTTATACAATATTTGAATATGGATGCATCTGTAGCTAAAAAACAGTACTTCTGACATCAACGTGGGAAAAGCTCAGTCAATCAAGTTTATTTGCTTTATATCACATTTCAGAAAGAAAGCAGTTCAAAGTTCTTCACATCATAAAAGGACAAAAATACAAAGTTTTCAAAAACACCACATGGTCAACAATTGAGAAACCAGTAACAAACATTACATTTTTATCATCAAAATTACCAATATGCATCAATAATGCTGGTCATTCTTCCATTTCCTCAACCCTTTCTGCTTGATTTTTGATTTTTATTTTTTTTTTATAACTTTGCTAATTATTATGTAATGTAAAGGCCAGACCCGCTTTCAGCCTCACAGGATTGTGCTTTTATTAGACTATTAATTACAGTAATACTGTTGTTCTCTGTACAGCACCTTTGTAAAGAAAACATTATCTCTGCAAGTTGTTAAATGTATTTAAAAAAGAGCTTTACTAATTCATATTATGAGCAGCCACAGCAAAACTGCACTACTAATATTTTAAAGCAAAGGAGAACATACCCCTGGGTATATTCCTAGAGAATGGAGAGCTATTTCTGCCAACAGTCAATATTTCCAGCTCCAGCATGCTTAAAGCAGACAGAGGTTACGAGCTGTGATGGATAAAACTTTCCCTTAAAGCGTCTGCCTTTCCCGTCATCTTCTAACGTCTTGCTTTCTCTCATTCTTCTGCAGCCGTGATGAATCACAGACGTGTCTGGGGATGTTGTAAAAATTACTTAGTAGCTTTTTAAGCCTATATATATTCCTAAATGTCGCAAGTTTTCTTATATTAAAGTATTATTTATTCATAAATGCCACAAGTATTTCCTACTTTTTGGTAAAGATAGAGATGCTGACTTCCTTTCCAGAAGCACTTTACTGTTTTAGATTTTACCTCCATAAATACAGCTAAAGTTGCTAAACAGCAAGTATCGGGTTTTGACCCAAACACCTCCGCAAACACTTGGCATTCAATGAAATAGCCTCCCTCTCAGCACCTCTGCAGTAAACCACGTTGAGTTGTGGGGCTCATTAAGCTGTGTTCGTCATTAATAAGAAATACTGCGCTCCTGTAAGAGACGGGAGTCGGGCTCGGTCAGAGAGTGTTTCACTGTGACTCGCTGCCTGACAGTTTCATTAGTACCACACATAGATGCCACCGAGTCAGGCAGCCAGACTCAGGCACAACAAGAGGATTGATGGGTCTGGGAGGTCCGGGTGTATGCGTGTGGGCATTTGAGTTTTCACGTTTGTCAGGCCGATGTGCCCGTGCTGTCAGGCGTGTGCACGGTGAGACACGCACGCTGGGAAGAAAATGTAAAACCGCTCATAAATATTTCAGGGGATTCCACCTACAGAATCTGAAAAAAAGGAGTGATGCAGCTCAAAATAGAGAGCGAGAAGTCTGCAGGGACAGGATGGAGTGAAACAGGGTTAAAGAGGAAGAGAGGCGATAATAAGGAAGTCCACAAATACAGGACGAGACATGTTGCTATCATGAGACTTCCTCTTATGAGTGGGTGCAGTAAAATGAGTCATTAATGGATCCCAGCAACCATTAATACTGTCTAATTATTAACAAGGCACAGTTTATGTTGATTAATATTGACTAAACTCAGACACAAGCTGCTGTGTAGAAAGTTACTAACTGCTGACATTCAGAGGCCAAAATCTCTGGAACATCTTGTAATTTTTTTTTTTTTTTAATGCAACTTTTTCTGCTCAAAGGGCGACTAAAAATCTTTTTTATTTTTTTTCCCTCAATTATAATCTCTTGACTAACAACAACTAACTACTCTTCCCGAGAAACTCTGTAATTTAAATTATTAAAACGTATAACACATACAACAATGTGAATTCTCCTATTTTCTGTTCAATTTTCCCATCTCCAATATTTCTCTCTATAAAGCTGACTAGATGATTTTTAAAGTGCAATTGGGCAACACAAGCCAGTATAAATTATTTTAATCACTGAGCAAATTAAAGTTATTTTTAAGCATATCCCTGCTAAGTCCAATTATGACATGTTTCCAATTACCTTGATTATAATGGCAAAAATAATAGTCCGCATTAGAAGAATAACCATAACTATGTTGAACTAATGGGGCCAAACCTGCAGCTTTGCTGCTAATGCAGATGAGCAGAAGAATGAGATGGCTACCCAAGTGTATTTATAATTATTTCTTTAGGTCAAAATTCCTTTTTCTCAATATTACTTTTGCATACTTAATAATAAATTCATCCACTGCCTTTCATTTATTAATTTAAACTGGCTCGTCCATTAACTCGTTTTAATTTCAGCATCTTGTGAAGGGTCGTAGCTAAAAGAATCTCAGTCAAGTTTTTTCCATGTTTGGTCAAACATTAATATCTGTAGCAAATTACATAAACTGGGAACCTAATTAGAATCTTGTAACTGTAGTAGATGACCCTGAAATGGGAGATTTGGATGACACACTCACTCTTCTTAAATATCAGAATTAAGAAAGATTTTCTTTCTCTTAATAAAAAGAAAATCCCATTACCTTGTGAAAAAAATTCTGACTGAATTTGCTGGTTTTCACCTTCCAGTTTGAGACCAAACTTGGGAAAACCACAGCAGCGCTGTCCTCCGCTGAAACCCTGGACCCTCTTGACCTGAAGGTGGCCCTTAAAAAGGAGCGTGAGGAGCACCAGCACCTCCTCGCCGAGTCGTATGCAGCCGTGATGGACTTAACCAAACAGGTAAGCTGTTGTCTGAGCTTGAAATAAAAACCTGCAACTTCTTTGGCGCTGATGCTGCAAACATCATGCAGGGGGGACGCAGGAAGAAGAAACACATTTGAAGATAGTGGTCATAGCATGAGAAAACTCAAAAGTTTTGAGGGACGTGAATATGGATGTATATCACCTCCATCTGATTTCAACTCATCCTGCCGTTTTTGAATCTCCCTCTTTTGGCTCGTCCGACCGTTGATCGGATTAGCTTCAGATAGGAGAGAGGAACTGGAGCAGAGAGAAGCTGGAGCTGCTGGAGAGGTTCAGCCAGGAGCGAACACAGTGGGAACAAAGGCTGAGAGACGCTGCCACTCAACAGGAGAAGGTGCGAACGGTGGGTCGTCTTGGGTTGAGAGTGACATTGAAATATATTCCAGATCGATCTTGCAACGAAACTACATTTAATTTATGCTAACATTCTTCTCTTTAGTTGGTTTTGCACACGCAGAGTTCAGACCTCTGGACACGATGCTGTTGGTTCAAGTTGCTGCTCTGGGTTTCTGCTTTCTTCTTTTTGTGGACAGAGACAGTAACTGTCAGATGGTAATGCCATGATATGAGCAGAGATGGGCTGAGTACCCAAAAGTTGTACTTCAGCAAGAGTAGCGCTACTTGAAAACATTTTTACTCAAGTAAAGTCAAAAAAAAAAAAAGAAAACTGTCCAAGAAAATACTTAGGTAAGAGTGAAAAAAAAAAGTTTGGTAAACTGATCAAAACATTAATCAATATTTCAAAATTACTGCGTCAGATGGACCAAAATATAAAAATAAGCTTAAATATATTTTTTTAAAAGACAAATAATTTATATAAATAATATAATTACAAAATAAACAAAGAAATAAAATAAAATAAACACTTTCCCAAATCAGCTACATTATATGTAAAACTGGTGAAACTGCTGATGTCTGATGATTGTTTTTTTGGTTTTTGTTTTTATCAAAACAAGCTTGTTCTCCATCCAGTGGAGTTACTCGCAGTGGAAAGATTATCCAGAAATGTTCCTACAGTATGAGTAGTGACACTTCTTAATAAAAATTACTCAAGGAAAAGTAAAAAGTCCAGAGCAAATAAAAAATCATCTTAAAAGTATTTATTTTTCAAAATATTCCTCAAGCAAATGTATCTGATTACCATTCAACTCTGGATGTGAGTAATTGCCAGGCTGTTGTGTAAAAGCTCAGCTCACCAGAAAAACGTGGCCTCTCATGTCGGCTGCAACATGTCAGTGAGGGCTGACGATGTGCTGCGACCTTCTGTGGATTCTAAGGTTAAAGGGATTTTCTGCGTGCCTAACTCAAACCCCAGAGGTGCATTTAAGGCCTGTATGTCATCTTTGAAGCACTGCAGAGGACTCCCCTCCTCTCGCCCTGTTTCCTGTCCTCTCATTCGCTTTTTCCACTTCCGCATCTGTCTCCGTCGTCTTCCTTCCCCCTTCTGCTGTTATCCTGTCTCGTTCCAGGCCTGTGCAGGAAAACTGGGTGGAGATTCAGCTTTTGTCTCAGCCACTCTGATAGCAGCGTTATCACGCTCTGCCTTCCTCAAACCTTATGGATGTGGAATTTGTTTGGACCTTTTCAAGCTTTTAGGATGTAGTTGTAGCCCCACCAACAGGCAACTTAGTGTAATCCTTGCTTTATTACACTTAAACAGAACAAAGACGGGCAATTAGTACACAACTTTCATTTTTTGATTTTACACATAAATATCTAATTTTACTGATCAAAGGCACCTGCTGTGTATTTAGATTTCTGTTTATTCAGATAGTTCGGGCCGCACAGTGCCACTGGTGAGAGTAAAATAAGGTTGTCAGTGCAGCCATAGGCACAGCATCTGCAGATGTCCTTTTCTTCCACTTCTCTTCCTCCGCTCACAGGGGAAATTGCTTCTGAGCTTCAGACCTCACCTCGAGTCCAAAAACCACTGACTCAGCATCGCTATCCGTGTTTAACCTCGATCTGCCGCAGACTGATTATAGCAGGCGAGACTTTTCACTTCCAAACACTCCAACAGAGGCGGCTGGCCGCTTCACACTCACAATAAAATGCTATAGGAGTTGCGATGTGCAGACGTGTCTTGAAGGTCATTTAAATGTTGATTATTTGCCAAAAACCAAATAATCTCTTCTCTTTTTCCTCACAGTCGAAGCCTCCGGGAGACGAATCCACAGTGGACACGGGTGCTGTAATTGGATCAGCATCGCCGAGGTGACAATGAAAAACAATCGTGCTTACTTTAGCGCGTACTTATACGAGTCATTAGTTGTCAGAGTCCGTTTGAACAAGTTCACTGGGACATTTTATGGTGCAAATAAACCTAAAAGGTTAAAAAAATAAATAAAACATGAAAAAGAAAAATTTATACCTACAGGCATGCAAAGAAGCAGGTGGATAAAGTAAGTCAAGGTGCTTCAGAAAGATGTTTATATATATATTTTTTTATCCTTTTCACTTTTTGTCAAAATTCTTTGTACTGTATTTTTTTATATATAAGCATTGAGTGCATTTATTAGTTGGACCTCTTTACGCCTAAATAAAATCCAAGGCACATAATGGAGGCGCTGTAAAAAAATAAAAAATAAAATGAAAAGAAAAAAAAAGGAAAGTGTGTTGCCCACAAATTTAGCTTTCACGGAAAATAGGCAAGAAGAAAACTGTTGTTAACATAAAGCCAGCAGAGGTCATCTTTTGAGTTTGCCACAGTTCTAACACTCTCAAAAAGAGCTGCGATCAGTGTGTGTTCACAAATCATACACATTTTGTGTTGATCTGTTGATTAAATCCAAGTTAACAAACACTGAAGTGGGTGATTGGGAATGTCACAAATGTGGAAGAATGAATACTTTTGCAGATCACTGTAAATTTGTCATTGTGACATGTGAACGTAACTTTTCTGTTACTGCCTGTTTGAATAGGATCAAATCTGCACTGGACGACTCAGAGGGTAGCAGATCTTCATGTGTGAAGGACAAAGCACATTTTGGTTCAATGCCGCTTTTTACTGGAGCCGAGTTTGGAGATATAACCGTGAAGAACTGGACCAGCATAACCAACGAGGTTTGAAACTAAGACTTTTATATGACTACTTATCTAAAATGTGTAAACTTTGTTGAGGTTTCCCTCTTGATTTTTTATTTTTATTTTTATCTTAACTTAGAGTGACTGATTTCACAAAAGCATTGAGTCAGAACATTCACTAAACCTATGCTGTTGTCTCCTGGTCTAGACCCCAGAGATGACTGACACCTGTAAAACCTGGGATGGTCCCAGTGGTTCTTCAAACAGCTCTGCAGCCTCTCAGATGGACATGGACTTTGTGCAGAGGAGCTGCACTGCTCCGGACCGGACCGGCATCCGTATCTACTACAGCCCTCCTGCTGTGAGGCGTATGGAGCACCGGAGAAGATACCAGGAGCCTCTAGATCCCGACCAATACGGCATTGGGGGCTCTTCTCTAAAACAGAATGACCCGGATGGTGGCGTGGCTTCGCTAAACGCGCTCGATGCTCAGCACGCACAACCCGCCTCATCGTTTACCTCTTCTTATGAGCAGTGGCTCAGCTCGCTGTCCAAGCAGCACCTGGAGCTGCTGGAGAGCAGAGGCAGCAGCATTTCTGCGTCGATGCCGAGCGTTTTCAGCAGCAGTGTCAGCAGCGGGGCGGCTAACAGGGTGGTGGACGGGATGACGTCCAGTTCTCCCTTCCATGACCTGGAGATCGGAGACATCTCTGCCAACTTGAGTGATGACATGAAGGAAATGACTAACTGTGTCCGGCAAGCTATTCGCTCTTCCTCTCTGGAGAGGAAATCCAGCAAGGAGTCTGGTAGTCAGGTATCACCGCTCATTTATTTTGATCCTTTTTCCAGTAATTTTTTTTTTAATTGCTTTGAATCTCCTCGCTTGCTATCGCTATTCTTGTTGTATTTAATCTTTATTACTTTATAGCAGGGATGCCAAACTCAATATCAGTATGAGTTTGCTTGTCTTTGTATTGAAAAGTGCTTTGTAAATAAAATGTAATATTAAAACTTTTTATAAATGTTGGATTTAGACAGAAATATCTCAGTGTTCTAATTGCGAGCTTGGCTCTACTGGAAAAAAGTTCAGGTAAAAAGGCTAATCCAAAACATTTTAAACTTCCTTCAGCCCGTTGGAGTATCCAACAAGTCCACCCAGACTGTGGCTCAGGGTGTCAGCATCGGGCTGCAGACAGAGACCAGCAGGGCAGCGGGGTTGCACTCCAAATCCTGGTCTCCTCGGCCAACACCAACAACCACTTCCTCACTGGCATCCGCCCGAACTCGACAGATTTCTACGTCTCTGGATAAAGTGCACAGCCGCATCGAGAGGCCTTGCTGTTCGCCCAAGTATGGATCGCCTAAGCTACAGCGGAGAGTGTCTTCTGGTAAAAACATCTTATCGCTTTCCTTTGAACCCAGTTGGTTGGCGCTTTGGAGCATTTTTAGATGAATGATGGAGCAAAACACTGTTTTCAGGTTCCACTTCCAGACTGGACGGCGCTTCCTCCACCAGGGACCGCAGCATGTGGAGCCTACATCAGAGGCCCATCGGCGGGAGCGGCGGCTCTGCGTGGGCTCGCTCCACTACGACGAGGGACAGCCCCGTCCTGAACGGCCTCACCGATGGCCTCTCCAGCCTTTTCAGCGTCGTGGAGCACTCCGGAAGCACAGAGTCGCTTTGGAGGAGTGAAATCGGTGAGACGCATAATCTAGATCTGTAAATCTATTATCTTTCAAGTACTGCAAATAAGCTAGATTAGAAAGAGAGCCATACATTCCCTCTATTAGACATATTTGTTTGTTAAATCAAACAGAAATCATTCACGCCTCATTATTTATAACACTATGTCATAAACAGCGTTTCCCATAACACCGAAGCAGACTTAAGAGCATACAGAAGTCGACCAGTTCACGCAAAAAGTATCTGCTATAAATCCACATATACACCACCACCAACTCCATTCTTCTTAAAAAAGTTTACAATAAAATGACAAGTTTGGTTTGCATCCATGTCCATCTGTCTGTCCAGCCAACCACTCAGCAACCTAGAGCCAATTTTAAAGTGAAGTCATCTAAATAAGAGATGTCAGGCTCTCAACAGTCTGTTTATGACAAGCTTTACTAGAGTTAACTCTCACATAGGTTGTTTTGGTGTCCATCGTGGTGAAGATGCTGATAAAGGGTCCATCTCTGCAGTAAAAGTTGCATAATCACAAACTGAGAAACAACATAATTTGATGGAACAAAAAAAAGCCCAAATGTCTTCTTGTCTTGTTCTAGCTTAAACCCACAATAACTTCAGTTAATTTCTTTGGTGATAATCCAAACATGTGATCCCTGCGCTGCTATAGGCCAGACGGCCAGCCCGGCGCGGCAGCCCCACGCTGCTGGAAAACCCTCCGGTGCTGCTGTTTGCGGCTCCGACTCCAACACTCAGCGGTATGGCGGGCTGGTGCAGGAGTTCTTCAGGAATGTGTGCAGCAGCCGCGGCCCAGGTGGAGCCCCCCTATCTGTGGAGAGAGTGCAGAGAGACTCCCTCACTGTCCTCGGAGGCGTGGGGGTCTTGGGTGGCGTGAACAGCCTGGACGAACCCGCGCTCGGAGGGGCTGCTGCGTTGTCTGGACTGAGTGGAGGCAGCGACAGCGTGACCAAGATTGTCAATAAGCGGTTTATGAGGCAGACAGCTGGGGAGGAGATGATCAGCATCATGGGAGGAGGGAAGGAAGCAACGAGTAACAGCGTGCCTGTAGGACCGGCAACCGAGGTTTGTTCATTTAATAAAATGGCAGTTTGTAGTATTATGCTACTTTTGTACATTGTATCATATTACAACCACAAACCTTAACCTATTATAGTGGAACTTAAAGTTAAATGTGGTAAATCTCCTTTTACCACGTTCACTTTGACCAATTGCCTTCGAAGGTCATGTAATAAGTACCTGTTGTCCACTTGTGTGTATTGTAACCTCAGTATGAATTCAGCTGTTTCGCGAAGTTAGTTCACTGATGTATTTGAGGACATTAGTGACCAACAAATACAGTGGACTGCTCAGAAAGAAAGCTATAAAAGCACTCTTAGTGTGTGTACTGACAATGGTAGCAGTATGATGAAGGCCTGCTACGCCGTGCCCTGAACTGCCAGGTGGAGGAGAGCATTGATTACAGCACCTGTCAAAAGACCTGTCGTAAAAGGAAGCTGAAAATACAGCCAAAGCTACAACAAAGGAGTTTAAATCAATGCATTAGGTCATTGCATTGACGAGAAAATTCCTCTTGAAATGATGCATATCCAATCTGAGTAAGTCTGGGGTGATTTGTTTAGGAAATTAGGCAAAAGTTTAAGTTTCTAAATGTGAAAAGCTGGTGTAGAGATAACCCAAGAGTTGCAGCTGTAATTTTTAAACATCCATGTATTATTTTCATTCTAAAGCACAACTATTTAGTTTGTTCTGTTGGTCTAACCAGTAAAAAAAATTGTTATATTAATGAACAGCCCATTTATTTCAGGAGCTTTATTACTAAGCGAAACATATCATGTAGATTAATTACACACAAATGGGTGTTTGAAAGCATTTATTTATGCAAACTACAATCATTTTTCACTTATAGCTAATAAAAAACATATTTAAAATCAGAAGATCAAATCAGAGCCATAAAAAACTTTATAAAAACAGAAAATGTGTGCTTAATAAAAAGCATGTTTTCTGCTCAAAGGTTATTTTCAAAAGATACTTTTAATCTGACATATGAGACTCACTGGGACGTATATTCTGATTTGCTGAATATGTCGGTACATGAAAGTTTGTGGTTATAACGTGACAGAATGTGCAAAGGATAAATGGGTATGAATATGTTTTCAAGGCTCTGTACACCATGGCATCATGACCTGGGCAAGCAGTAACTTTGTTCTGTTTCCCAGGACGCACCGTGCGATTGTGCTACCCAGTCCTCCTGCTTTGTCCGATCGTCGAGAGCAGCCGCTCGCCACTGCAAGCACCGCCCACAGGACTCTCCATCTGGCGCCGAGGAGAAAGGAGAAGCCTGTAACGAGTGATGAGCCTCCCACTGCCCCAGCGAAGACGGGAGAAAATTCACTTCTTCACAAACACGACTGCCTTGGAATTGCTTTCCCACGCCTCCCAGAGCACCAAATGCATACAAACACCTACAATCTGCCACGCACACAGGCCCACTGCCAAACATAACATTGCGTCAGCACACAGCGCAAACTGCCCCCCCACAAAGCTACTGCCACCTTCTCTCAATCAGAACCCCGGAGATGCCACTCCGGTTTCCAGACGTGCAACCGATGCCAAGGACTCCGCCAGCATCCCAGACCTACCAGCAGGACTGAAACCAGAACTGCCATCTAACACCACAGATACCAATCAACAGGCTAAATAATGATGATGTCAGGACTCAAACCACAACCTCCATGTAACAGAATAACAGGTACTACAATCAGTCCGCTAAAATCACACATTCACAACTACAAGCTATTATGTTACCACCATCATGCTGTTTAATGAGCAGGTATTTTAAATATTATGTGTAACTTCGGGGGGTATGAAACAAAATTTTTTTTTACTATTATTATTATTATTTTTTTTTTCATATACATTCTGGCTGGTCTGAGACGGCCAGTCTGTAAATCGAGACACAATGAAATGTTTCGATGATTTCACAGTGTTGGACCTGTACTTAAAACGTCACGCAGTGTCGGATTGCTTTGCACAAATGACCTCACAGATCCAAAAAATGCCACATCTTAATGACACGCATTAGAGAGGCATACACCATGTCTTATTAGTATAGGAAGACATTGGAAACCACTGGGTTGTGTGTCTCAGGATGACCAGATTTGAACTAAAATGAAGAATACAGGTACCTAATGGCTCCAAAAATTAAACCATAAAAATAATTATAGGGACTGTGTTTAACCAATGTTCCTGGAGAGCAAACTGATCTGATGGCTTGATTTTCTAGTGCTGTCTGCCCTCTGTCTTATTGAACAACGGGAACAAATACAGACAAAATGGATGATATGAAAGTCATGACTTTGACCTTTGATGATAGAAATTATGTTTTATATTTAAGCAGACGGCCAGAGATAGAGTTGTATTGAGGTCATCCTCAGGTGACATCATTACAAGCACCAATCTGGTAAACACATGTACATATCTGCTGTGCGCCATCTTGAAATGGCTTCTGTTGTGACACACTTTGGGAATCATTCCTCCTTGTTGTTAAGTTAAACTGGGATTATTTTTGTTAAGCTCATGGGACGTTGGATAAAAATGTAATTTTTTTATTTACATTAAATTGTTTATTTATTATGTTGTTTTTTTTTCAGATTACCCAATATTGGGAGCAAGAAATTAAAAGCATTCCAGTTTTACAAATACATCAAAAAGTTTTTGGGGAAAAGTAAACAAATATGGTGCATTGCAAAAGTATTCATACTCCTTGACCATTCCACTACATATATTTACATTCATCTAATCCATTGTAGCTCTGGTTGCATGTTCATGATTGTTGTTCTGCTGGAGGGTAAACCTCAACCACAGTCTCAAGTCTTTTGCACCTTCAGAATTTTCCTGAAATTTTCTCCGTCACTGTTCTCATGAACTTTTGTACTAGCTTTCGTAAAAGTTGTAGGTTAAAAAAAATAAAAAATAAAAGCGTGATTGATATGAATCATTTTGCAAGGCAGTGAACTCCATAGTTTGGACACTTGGAACAGACACACTAACTGGCCTCTGTCTAAGTCAAGATATCAAAGTGAACAGATTGTCACATCCATACACCGACAGCTATCTTTCGTACTAATAAAGCTCGTTGAATTGGTTCAAAGCCTTACAGCACACTTGGAATCTCTGTAAGGATTTTTAAAATGTTATTTAAACATGTATTTTTTTTTAATCAGCAAAATATAACTTTTAATATTTAAATATCTAAAGCATTGAAACTTTTAACTTATTTGAAATAGATTCATAAATTGATTGTCTATATAAATAAAAGAAGCTGGAATACGAAGTTAACTATAAGATGGGCGACAGAGTTCATTTTCCTGTAACAGCTGGACATAATGGGCAGCATAAATCAACACCAACACAATTGCAAAGTCACAAAGACCCTGCAAATAGAAGAAATCTGATGTTGGACAAAATATAAACATAAACTCTGAAGGATTTTATACATGTATCCTGAGTCCATCACTTTGCCATGTCCTTTTTTATATATTGGATTTGCTATTCAAATGGCCTGTTGGATTATTTATCTTATATTTTTCACACTAAAACCAGACTCTCTAAAACTGTCTGTTTGTTTCATTAATGTACTGTACCCTGGTAAAGCGACAAGAGGCTTACAACTGTAGCTGGATGTGGCATAGGTTGCACATCTGGCATTTTTAAAATACAAAGAAATTCTTTCTGGAATATCTACTATTTTACTTTTTAATTGATGTTCTGCTGATCTGTTGTCAAGTCTCTGTTTTGATATGATGGTGCTACTTGGTGTGCAGCCTTCTGTGGACTTCAACAGAGAACCTACCCATCTTGTGTATGCACACAGTTTAATGACTCAGCAATTTAAAAGTAGGGCATTACATAAAGTACATATACTTAAATGACATGCTGAGGAAAACCCACAGTCTCTGTGCTACTTTCTCGGTTTTAGCCCTCATTTTGGGTACAAAACCAACTGCATAAAACCAGCTGCTGCCTCTCCAGCCACCGACATGAAAACAGCTCACCTAGGCCGTCTGAGTTCTGGCCTCAATTTTATGGCTGTACTTGTTGTCTGACTGGTTTACCAGCTCAGCAAAGTTTCAACGGTTTCCAAAAAGGTCATTTATTATTCCTCTTTCATATTTCACTTTTTAAAAACGTTTGCATTTTCCTGAACAACAATTATCTATAACTTAATCTCCATTTAAATTCAACAAAAAAACACAATAAATATGACTTGAATATTTTATGTTTTCATTTTCAATTGCGCTATTGAACCATTTTAGGAAAAAACGCCTAAAATGGCTAAACACTTAGCTGAGATGTTCATCCAGCAAAGCTGTCTTTCTCATTTCTTCATGATTGTTATTTAAAGCAAATCCCTGTTAAAGTATATTAAAATATTATACTCTATTCAAATCTGACCGAAAAATGTAGGGCACACTGTTCCCTCAGTGCTGATTCACATTAAGATATTTAGTATTTTTCCAGAACTCAAAATAAACTCAGAGGGCTTTCTGTAATTTGAAAATGTGTGTTGTAATGGAAAATTTTCATAACAATATGATTCAAAGAACTGCAGCTGTGTGTCCCACTGTTAAAGAGTTATCCAGAAATGATCATTTTTGACTTTGCAAACTGTTAGCTTTAGCTTATAGCTAGATGCTCATAGAAAAACAGTTCAATCACTTGTCAGTTCTGGTCCTTTTATCATATCTGAAATATTGAAGGCACAAGTTAATTTGACATAATCTTCAATAAACCAGTAATTTGAGAACCAGTGTTAAACATTCAAACCTATACAAACAGTTAGCACGCTAACAAGAGCCACAGCTCATAGGATATTAAACCATATTTACCAGTAGTTTTTCTTTCAAAAAATTTCTGTCTGCAGTTAAAACCCCAACAAAATAGCAGACATTAAACAGACTGCATCACAAAGTTTAGTGGTCATCTTTATGCACTGTCTTCTGTCTAAAAGGATTGTTTCTAACAGTTTCATTCTCCAGACTACAAAAACCCAAACCGATTGGCACACAGAAGATTTCCAAACAGTGTTCAAACAAGAACCTGCCTTTTTCAATCTTCCCTTTGCATTAATATCTGAAACTCAACGCTATTAACACCGTGTGCGACCAACAAAACAGGCTTGTGCTTAAAACATTAAGATGATTGGTTTTATACACTGCGAACCAACAAACCACTGTGGCAGGGATTTATGGGATGTTCGTTGTCCTGTTCCAAATAAAAAGCAACTTTATAACATGATATTGTAATTTTAAACTATATTTCTGATTGCACAAAAGTACAAGTGGACAGTTTACAGAATTTTTTTCTACCTCTTAGACTGTAGTCTAAAATAAACACAAACACTAAAGTCATGTAAATCTGCCAGAAATTTTCAATTGAAACTCATGCAATCTCTACATTTTATTTTCAATGTCATTCTGTCAACAAGAGGGTCACTTTAGTGCCTTTCCTCTACAAAAGTGTCTTGTTTTTACTAGAACCTTATTCCTTTATCTGCAGCAATTCCATTACAAAAAAGCAACACGTTTAAGTTCAAATATTCAGATTAGATACATGTCGAATTAAATCTAATAGTTGTGTTATTTTGCACAATTGATAAGGGATTTATGAGATGATTTATTAATATTTTGGTTTATCAGATCTCCAAACAAGTCAAAATTAAGAAAAATAGAACATGTTTTCAATGAATGCCTGTAGCCTACACTGTTTTTTCTTCTCTTTTTTTATGTGAATAGGTCTAAATTTAAGATGGCATCATTATATGAAGAACCAAACACATAATGAGAAAAGTTATTTCATTTTTGGTGTCTTCTAGAGAAGTATGCAGACATGCTGGACACATACTTGTTTGACTTGTGGCAGAATGATATGCATATAATGATTCTGATTATTTTTAAATTACAACATAGAATGTGGCTTGGTAGAGGTGGATATCCGTCTCTCTCTAATCTCTAAATTACATTTCACCCATTAACAAAAACATTTTGCAGAAAATGTCACCAGCCAATGACTTTTTTGAAAGCGCTGGGGTACCAACCAATACCCGTACCCATTTTGTAATGTGTCCATACCACTAATTAAATTATTACATGCTGGGATTATGTAAATGATTCTTAGCTGGTCATACTGGTAGCTAAGGTATTACTTAAGGACAGTCTGTATATTAGCTTTATTAACATACAATAATCTCTTTTTAACAGTGCTTGATTAATAAGATGTTAAACGAGTACTTGGTAAAGAATTCCCACCCACATTGTAAAGCAACGGGAAAGTGAAACATTTTGTTCCCTGCCCTTCTGTTTCTATGAGAATAGCTGAATGTCAACAGCTGATCTGACCCAGGTCGCTGCGGAAATATGTAGCTCTCTCCCTCTTCAGATGGCACCTGACCATTATCATGTATATAGTTGCATTTTGAAGATGACTGATGGAAAAAAAAATGAAATAAAATAAAATAAAACAATAAGCATTGGAAGATGTGAGGAAAAGATGTGCAAATGGATTTTTGAAGGTATTTTTGTTTTTCCAACCATGGTAGCTTATAAAATAAGATGAAACTGCTTCCTGTTTGTCATAGAATACACAAATAAACGTATCATGGATTTTGATGTGGTTTGTGGTCTCTTCCTTTTTGCTTCCTCTCTGTTCTGCATTGAATCAGACTGAGGCTCTCTCAGTAAAGAATAATGAATAATGTAATTTCTTCATTAGCAAGAAGCTTCCCCAATGATGTGAGGAGAGCTGATTGTGATGCACACACAGAGTCTGGTGTATGTTGAAGGGCACCAGCTTGTTTGTTTTCCAACTGAGCTTCAGTTTCTCACAAGAAAAGGGAAACAATAAATTCAGCACAAAAAAAATATTTAAGAAATCAACAACTTTTCTGTTTTAATCATCTGGGTTGAAACCTCTTGTGGAGGATTTAAGTTTGTGAGTAGGAAAGTAAACCATCTGCCAGTTCATTATGGTTATAGTCAATAAAAAGTGGAGGATTTTGAACTAACCTTTGAGGAAACAGACTCCTCATAGTGTAAGCTAGAGCTTGTGAAGAGTGACCGGGGTGTTTTTTCCTACCAGTAGAGGGAGCCACAGGGTCAAAATGGAAGGTAGAGTGAGCCACCCTGGGCTCAGGATAGTCTTAACTGTCCTGTCCTTAACTATTTCTGTCTTAACTGTCCTTAGGACAGAAACTAAGGAGAGTTTCTGTCCTTATAAGAGATAGGACAGAAACTCTCTCTCATAATTATCTTAATGAAAAAGGAGATAAATGGTCCAATTTCTTCCATAAATTCTCTTACCCGTAAAATCGCCCAGAAAATGAATGTGACAAAATTTTATTGCGCATAGGATGATCTTGAACAGCAGAACTTTGAATTTAAAGCGTAAATATTGTATATTTTGACTCCCTAATTACCACGATGAAAGTAAATACTCTGCTTCCTTAATTTCATCCTCAATGAAATAATCTGAAATCTTGTGTTGTCATTAGCGAAGAGGAGGAGAGGGGGATTATCACATATTAACAGAAATAAAAACATCAGTCTACGCATGATTAATCTATAATGTGTTTCACTTAGGCAGTTGAACTTTTCAGTATTCTAATTTAAAAGTGTGATGAAAAAGACTGAAGATGCAACAGTCTATGAGAAAGTTCAGAGCAGACTGGACTTATTGAGGAAGCTCAGATCCTTCGAGGTTTGCAGCAAGACGCTATTTCTATTTGCTATTTCAAATCCAGTAGTCAGACTACAGCTATAGTCGAAATCACTTTGCGTTGCTGTGCGTCAGTGGTGTATCAAGATATATAGATATATATACGCACGCACACGACACACCTCAAAGCCCCAGTACCACCTGGTACTACCTGCTAACTGTTTGCTCTGCTTCTCTTTAACGTTACACCAGGCGGGTTCAAGTCGCTGCTGACGAGATCTGGGCAGGAGGTGAGCGGCTGTAAATAGAAGTTACTGCAGAACCTCAAGTGTTAAAGGGAGATTCGGGCCAGAGCATTTACAGTTCACACCATGAACATAAGAGAAAATACTGGAGCTATAATTAGAACCGCAGGATAAAGCCAAACATGCTACAGTTAAATGAATCAAAGCATCCACAGATTGACTGGGGCCACCAGGGATTCCAGGCAGATTCCAGCGGTTCTTCATGCAGGGCCGGCCCAAGGTAATATGGGGCCTTAGACAGATCCCCGCTCCAACCCCCAAAACCCTTCCTACTAAGAACCTCAGCATCACTAACATGTTTGAATCTTTGAGAGGGAGACCAGGTTTTTTGGCCGAGTTTAAAATCAATCGCTGATTATTCGTTGTTTGCCGTGATGTAGCCTATTTGTGAACAAACCCAATTCAAACACAAAGTTTACACCACATTACAAAGTAAACTTCTTAATTAAATCCTAATTGTGCTGATTTTTTTCTCAGCTGAATGCATTAGATAAAATTTTATGACATTGTCACTCTCTATAAATGAATGGTACAGGTTTAGACCTATGGTCTGTGTTACAAATAAACCATTTCTAGGGGCCTCTGAATGGCCCCTACCAGCAGCTACTGAGTTTTCTTTGCCTTGAGATTCCAGTCTTACAAATCTAGATCTCAGAGGTGCTAACATCAAACATTATATAGAGTTTAACCCCTTTGAGCTTTTTTTTTTTTAATCTATAAATCAGTCTGCAGCCAGGTTGTTCAAGAGGTTAAATAGATATTATTAGGGTTTGATTAGTAAAATTTCAGCAAATTTGCTTATTTCATAACTTCATAACCAAAGACCTTCTTTCCTCTGGTCCTCTGGTGAAACAGCAACTTTATACCTGTTGGGGAAAATATATTACATTTGCTTTGCATTGTACCCAGATATAGCAGGATCCGATTAAATTCTGGATTAATACGGGTTGTTGCATGGTGTTTTAAGGTCTTTGTTTTTAACTCTGAGCCTTCGACCCTCCAAAGGTCTCTGCACGGCCCTGCACGTATCCATAGAGACAGAGTGTACATCTCGTCAACTGATTATCGATAACCGCTGTGATCGACACTAGCGTCTGTCTGACTGGACCTCAGAGACACACCATGAAAAAGAGCGAGACCATCGTTCAGGTCTTTTGCCTGATTTCAGTCATCTTAGGTAATTACGAATGCTTTTATTTTTTATTTTATTTTTTATTGATTTTTTAAAATTATTATTATTTTTTTTTTTTGCTACTGCCAAGCCATTCTGTGATTTTTATTTTTATTGATTTATTTTTGTGGCGAGACGGAGGTCGGCGGCTAAATATATACTTATATTTATATACTGATAAATATAAACATACTTCGACATTCGCTGAATTTAATGTGCAAATGAAACGTTTAATATTTCTAGACGCCAAAGAGGTGCAGCTTAATACACTTTATCACACCAAACAATTACATGTTCAGATTTGACGACGCTACAGCGATTTCCGCCCTCCCCCTCAATTCAGATCACATTTAACCAACGGCATCGGATTTATTTTATTTTATTTTTTAAAACCTGCTCTCTCGGTCCTCTCAAGGAATCCTACTAAAATGGGTGATTTTGTTACTTATTTATTTTATTAATTTTTGAAATCTACATGAGTCAAGTTCAGGGAGTGAGGATATTACAGGATATCCTCAGGGCCACCGTAGATATCAGTCAAAAGTTTAATTTGGAGATGTGGGCTTAATACTAAAAAAAAAAGAGTAGGCCTACGTTTAAGGTTATTTTTAAAAGGTAGTTTTGAAAAAAAACAAGTCTCATTAGAACATATGTTCTAACTTACTGAATATGATTGTGGGCCACATTCTGCTATTACAGTGAACCTTGTTTTGTTCTGCCAACTTTCACTCATTTTCCTCCAGTTATTGAATCTATTCTGTAAATGACATGTAGTTAGTCATTATTTTTACCCATCTTTAGAAAATAAATGACAGATTCTGTTCTACTGAATCATCATTGGTGTACAATGTTGTCAATAGATAATAAACTGAACAAACTTTGAAAAATAGAGCTGTATGTCATTTACCATTTATATTCAAGCACTTCCATATATTTCTCAAAGTGTGCCGTACTGAAGGTTGTTTCTACATCTTGATGATGCTGTTTTTCTGTATTTATGTATTTTATGTATTTATATATTTTATGTATTTATATATATATATATATATATATATATATATATATATATATATATATATATATATATATATATATATATATATATATATATATATATATACCTGTTATAATTGTGATTTTTTTTGCCCCATAGGAATAGGCATTGGGTTTCTGCTGAGGCTTACAATTGGCCTAAAAAATAAGCTTTTGAAAGACTCGATGCAAATCCCAGGGAATATACTTCTCGCCATCCTTCAGATGTTTGCTGTTCCCCTCATTGTGACAAGCGTTCTTGCAGGCAAGCTAAATATAATCAATGTTTTAACTTATTGTTGTAGAGATTGTTATAAAAGGTGCTCCCTCACTTTTTTGTGGATATTCTGAATGAATATTGCTGAAAACATTTATTTATATAAGTTAGATCTCAATGAGTCTAATTCACAAGAATTTTGTTGCTTGTCACTTAAAGGTGTTAGAAGATGAATATTAGTTCAGACATTTAGACTGTTGTCAGGCCATACAATATTGTCCTGTTCCTTGCTCAGGCACAAGATGAAACTCTGGTTCTGCTCTCTTTTCTCAGGAGTAACTGGATTAAACACCAAAATGTCCAAGAAAATAGCCATAGTCACAGGAGCCTTCGTCTCTATCGCTACCATTTTGGCCTCAAGTTATGGTAACTTTATGAACTGCAGTGTATTTTAACATAAATTTATAGAGTATCATAGTGTCTATTGTGTTATCAAGTGAGAATGCATTCATCAAAATGCTACTGTTCATACATTTTTCACTCTGCAGAAATAATTTCTGCATCAATATGTAGCTAGCGCTGTCTGCTTGGAGCAAATATTAGTGTCATCGCTGTAGATCTTGCAGTTTTCTTTCAAGCATTCCCAGAGCACAGGAATCTCCAGGAATGTTTTCTTCCCTGTGTTTCCCTCTTCTGTTGTGCTTAGATTTGTTGGTGTTCAGCTTTTTTCTGGTCTTTCTGTCTTCAGCCCTCCTCTGGCCTGTCTCTGTCTCTATTTCTTACTTTCTTCGTTTCTGTCTCTGTATTCTGAGTTTTTTTAAACTCTCTCTGGCATCTACTACAGTGTTAATTCTGCAGATATGCATTCTCACCACTGTTTTGCATGGAAAAGCAATTTTTCTAGTTGCTTTTCACATCCTGCCCGACACTTTGTGTTGCAGCAATGATTCTGGTGCTCTCAGTAGCGCCTGGTAAGGGAGTAGACGTGGCATCTGAAGAACCTGAGGTTTTCATTCCCTTCTCTATGCATCTGGTCTTCATGGATCTCTTGAGGTGAGAGGACAAGTGTATAATTCAATGCAGTTCAATTGTTAATTTAGTTTTATGTAGCAAATTTCCGCATCAAGGCAGTTAACGATGTTTCACATCACAAAAACACAAAATTTAAAGTCAGAACACACAGGCAACAATTGAAGCATTACATTTTGTCAAATGCCACCATTACACATCATAATGTTTGTGAATGTTGCATGACGTGTGAACAATACAAGGTTCGGGGTTTCTCAAGAATTAGCTGTTTAGCAATTTTCTATTTACTTTTGACCGGACTATTCATCCAGAATTGCTCGGCATTGCTGTTCCACAGCAGACAGGAGTTTCTGGACATTTTGACTCAAAACTCAGACAGTTTTATCACAGACATATCCCAGAGATCTGCAGAACACCGGAGGGTGGTCACACTTCCTGGCCAGTCCATGCAAATGGCACCGAGAACGCAAACAAAGGCAGGGTACACATGGAGGGCTACAAGCTAAGCCAAAGCTTACGCCACATCGACTGCGATGTCGACAATATCCATTCTCTGGCAAACAAAATGGATAAAATACAGCTACCCAGTACAGATAACAGACGGATTATCAACTCAAATGTCATCATTTTCACTGAAACATGGTTAAAAACAGCTTTCTGGACAATGCCATTGAGTTAGCAGGATGCCATACACACTGAGCTCGATTCAAAACTTGTAAAGACCACTTGAGAAGATAGTTGTTCGACAATATAGAGGTTTTGCATCATGGACTTCACTACCCAAAAACTCCAACTCGTGAAGATACTGAGGGCCTGGTAGCTCCGAGGTGCTGATTCGATTAGTACAGGTGATTCAGTATTGTCATCCAACCGTGTTTCTGTTATGAACATCAATATTATGCTGAGTGAAGTCATTTACTAACAATCCTTTTGCTGATCTTATAGTTTGCAGGGCCAGTTGAAGTGGCTTGGTGCCAGATAGTTCCTGAGACTGAGGTTGCTTTAGACATGAGTCTGATGTTTTGTTTCAGACCGCTGCATTTTGTATTTCTTTTTTTTCCAATTTTTCTCTAGTGATCTGGTTCAATCAATATTCCTGCTTTTCGGCATTTTCAGTTTACTGAATTAAAATAAAGATTATCTTTATCAGCAACTATGATTTAAAACTGTCTTGACTGATGTCAATATTAAAATCTGGTGAAAATAATATCCTCACGTTTTGTGTCTAACATTTACAAGCTCAGTTTTTTTTTTCTGACTCTTTTTTCTCACATAGGAACTTGTTTCCAGAGAACTTCTTACAGGCGTTCTTCGAGCAGGTATGTTTTCAGTCAGAACCACGGCTCACTGTGCAACTTCCTATGTTGAGTTTGGAAGGTTTACAATTTTTTTTGTCTTGTTTTGTTTTGTTTTTTCCCAGTACAAGACTGAGATTGTTCATGTTACAAGAGATCTAATGATATACCCATCGGTGAGTATTTTCTTCTGATTGTTGTTCTTATTCTGAGCACTTTCCAAAAGCTTTGACAGCCCTGGAGCTTTTTTGCAAATTTTGTCACTTCACAACCCCAAATTTCAAAGTATTTTGCTTAGGTTTTACGTTGTCAGTCAACACAAAAGAGTACTTGACTTTGAAGAGAAAGAAAGATCTGGATGGCTTTAATGTAAAACATGAAAGGAGAGGTGGTGTTTGTTTTCAGCTCGCCTCAGGGGCAGTTGTGGTTTTCTGTTGTGGTCATTGAGCAGGAGGAGGGGTACATCACACAGGAACACAGAGACAAGCAACCAGTCAAAACACTTGCACTATTGGTTCAGACTTGACCAATTAACACAACAATAATATTTCTCTGGGCAATGGGTGGAATAATTCACACATCTTGCCGCACATGTTCTGTTGTATTTAGGTCCGGATTGGACCAAAACGATCTAAGATGGTTGTGCTTTTCACCTAAACCCATCCATTGTAGATCTGGTTGTATATTTAGAGTGATTGTTTTTACACCAAGGGAGAATCTTTCTTAGTTTCAACTCTCAAGTCTTCTGGCCCCCTAAAACAAGATTTAACCCTAGATTTTCTGGGATTTAGTGCCATCCATCTTCCTATTTAGACTGTATATTGCTTCCCTGCAATAGAAAAGAGAGTGACCATACATGTGGATAACTGAATCTGTAGGGCTATTGGAGGGGTTACGTGTAGAAAAAAAATCTTCTACTTTTATACATTATGCCACACTTTGGGATTGGACTTTTACAAAATCAACACGAACAGTTCAAAGTTAATTACTTTAGATTGTATTGTATTGTATTGTTCTCCTACAATCTTTCTCTTGGAGACTTAGAGCCAGCTTATTTGTGTGTTTAGCCACGCAATGACACTCAGATGCAACTGATAGGCACCTATGTTCCTGGAGCCAACATTCTTGGACTGATCATCTGGTCTTTCACCATCGGCGTCTTGATAAACAGGGTGGGACACACAGCACAAAGCACCGTGAAGGCCATTCAATACATCAACGATGCAATAAAAATCATAGTCCGGTGGTTCATGTGGTAAGATAACATTTCAGTAAACTATTTCACACTTTTACCAAATTAGATAAATATTTAATACAAAAATTTTTCCCTTAATTAGTTCAGGTCAGACATAAGGGTAAGTAACAATATCAAAGAAATGTGATTTCCGTTTTTGAGGAAAATGAATCTGTGGTGAAATAAATTTAACATAACTCAAATCAACAATAGAAAATTGAGTTTGTATTTTTACACAAATATGTATAGTTTTGAGGTCAAAAATAATTGTTCAAAATACAAGACATTGCAATTTTTTTCAGATAATATATTGTTCAAGTACTAAGAACTTATCTTTTTAAGTTCATCCACGCAACAAAAGGCAGCCTTGTTATCTTTCTATATTTCAAAACACCAACCTTAAGTCATCAGAGTTCCCAAGCACTCTGATGACTGGGGACTAGCTGTGACTTGAAGTACACCCATAAAAATGTTCTTCTGTATCTACTTAAAAATATGAAATTAAATTAAGTTCAAGCTGAACGTTCAGGATGTCCCCAGACCTTACTCCATTCCTGCTGAACGCAGACCTAAAAACCGACGAGAAAGTTTTAAACATTTGTCCAGCAGATTCTGTGTTGAAAAATAAAATATACACTATGATGATTTTTTCTATGTACAGTTAGGGCCAGAAATATTTGGACAGTGACACAGGTTTTGTTATTTTAGCTGTTGACAAAAATATGTTCAGAAATACAATTTATATATAGTATGGGCTGAAAGTGCACACTCTCAGCTGCAATATGAGAGTTTCCACATCCAAATCGGAGAAAGGGTTTAGGAATCATAGCTCTGTAATGCAGAGCCTCCTCTTTTTCAAGGGACCAAAAGTAATTGACAAGGACTCTAAAGGCTGCAAGTAACTCAAAGGCCTTTCCCTCGTTAACCTGTAATCAAGTAAGTAGTTAAAAGGTCTGGTTGTTTCCAGGTGTGTGGTTTTGCATTTGGAAGCTGTTGCTGTGACCAGACAACATGCGGTCAAAGGAGCTCTCAATTGAGGTGAAGCAGAACATCCTGAGGCTGAAAAAAAGAAAAAATCCATCAGAGAGATAGCAGACATGCTTGGAGTAGCAAATCAACAGTCGGGTACATTCTGAGGAAAAGGAATTGACTGGTGAGCTTGGAACTCAAAAAGGCCTGGGCGTCCACGGAAGACAACAGTGGTGGATGATTGCCGCATACTTTCTTTGGTGAAGAAGAACCAGTTCACAACATCAACTGAGGGTCCAGACACTCTCAGAGAAGTAGGTGTATCTGTCTCTAAGTCAACAGTAAGAGAAGACTCCATGAAAGCAAATACAAAGGGTTCACATGTAGATGCAAATCATTCATCAATTCCAAAAGTAGACAGACCAGAGTTAAATTTGCCCAAAAACACTCAAGAAGCCAGCCCAGTTCTGGAAAAGTATTCTATGGACAGATGAGACAAAGATCAACCTATACCAGAATGATGGGAAGAAAAAAGTTTGGAGAAGAAAGGGAACGGCACATGATCCAAGGCACACCACATCCTCTGTAAAACATGGTGGAGGCAACGTGATGGCATGGGCATGCATGGCTTTCAATGGCACTGGGTCACTGTGTTTATTGATGACATAACAGCAGACAAGAGTAGCCGGATGAATTCTGAAGTGTACCGGGATATACTGTCAGCCCAGATTCAGCCAAATGCTGCAAAGTTGATTGGACGGCGCTTCACAGTACAGATGGATAATGACCCCAAGCATACAGCCAAAGCTACCCAGGAGTTCATGAGAGCAAAAAGGTGGAATATTCTGCAATGGCCAAGTCAATCACCAGATCTTAACCCAATTGAGCATGCATTTCACTTGCTCAAATCCAGACTTCAGACGGAAAGACCTACTAACAAGCAAGACCTGAAGGCTGCGGCTGTAAAGGCTGGCAAAGCATTAAGAAGGAGGAAACCCAGCGTTTGGTGATGTCCATGGGTTCCAGACTTAAGGCAGTGATTGCCTCCAAGGATTCGCACAAAATATTGAGAAAAAAACTTTTTTGTTTGGGTTATGTTTATATGTCCAATTACTTTTGAGCTCCTAAAATGTGGAGTGTTGTAAACAAATGTGTACAATTCCTACATTTTCTATCAGATATTTTTGTTCAACCCTTAAATTAAACGTTACAGTCTGCACTTGAATTCTGTTGTAGAGGTTTTATTTCAAATCCAATGCGGTGGCATGCAGAGCCCAACTCACAAATATTGTGTTACTGTCCAAATATTTCTGGCCCTAACTGTATATGGGTTAACAAAAGATAATGCTGTTGTTGGTGATGTAGGCAGAAAAAATACATTTGGTGAGATTAACACTGACAGTAGCAAAAAAAAAAAAACACAACTCTAACAAAAAGTGTGGCTACATTGGTTAAAAACTTTATTTGGGAAAACTCCTTGGGTGAAAAAAGTGAATACAAAATGTTAATGTGGAAAATACCTGGACAGTTTTTGAACAAGTTTTAAAAACTTTTTTTTTCAGGCAAAAGATTTGCATGTTCTTTTAAGTTAGGTGAACTAATTAGATTTTACAGGGTACTTGCATATCTCATTTTCACTAAACACGTTTAATGCTTTATACAAAGTTCTGTTTAACCTGCTTTACAAAATTAAGTTAACTTTACTTAGATTTCATGGTTCAAAGAAATATGTAAGCAATTAAAACAAAGTTTTGCTTGATCAACATAAATAAGTCATGCAAATAGTTGCTTTAATCTTTCTAAGTAGACAGAAAAGAATGTTTATCATCCTTGCAGGACACCTGTTTGACAAACAGTTAATCAAAATAAATTTGGAACACCCATTTATTTAACCTTTTTTCTCGACCGCTTTTTGTTTCAGGTATTTGCCAATTGGAGTTTTGTTCCTGATCGTGGACAGTGTGCTGGCTGTGGAGGACTGGGGAGAAGCCTACAAACTCGTGAAGTTTGTAGGGGTGGCTTTGGTGGGGTATGTCCGCATTGTCTGTTTCAACTTTGATGCTAAATTGAGATCACTGCTCATGAGATGGCAGCACTGAACTCTAGACAAGAAGGAAAGAAAACTGCTTTCAATGTATTTACAGAAGAGTAGCACTGATTTTACTGAGATTTTTCTCTTTATTTATGTTTAGTGGATCAAGACACTGCAAAGACCCATTCTTTTGAAAACAATTATTGTCAGCTAATTTACTCCGATACCCCCAAAAATCCATTCCAATTCAACCCTTCAGAGGTTGTGTTTGGCCTTAGAGGTTGTTAGAGAACCTTTGTGAACAAATGGCATCATGAACACCAAGAAACTCAGCAGACAGGTCAGGGAGAAAGTTCAGGAGAAGTTTAAATCAGGCTTAGTTTCTAAAACAATATCCAGGTCAATTCTGGAAGAAAATCTGTAGCGAGGTCCATCTTCCTTCAGCACAACTCTAAACCTGCACCTAAAGAAAAAAAATGAAACATCCCTTGGCTCTGGAAGACAGAAATGGTCTCAAGTTCCAGTTCTTGAGAGTCAGTGTACAGCAACATTTGGATGCCACTCTGCTTCAGTAAACTTGAGTCCAATATTGCCTCATTAGCAGAGCTCTATAGAGCCTTACTGCATGCGAGTGATGCATTTTAACCATTTCATTCAAGTGTGTCGGACAAGGGAAACATCTGAAAGTTCGAGGATACTGGCCTTTGAGGACAAGAGTTTGAGGCCACTTGTTTAGATCAAAGCTTTGTGTGTTAGAATGACCTAGTGAAAGTCTAGATCAATATCCTTTTGGTAATATCTGGCAGAAAGCTTTGTGTTCACACCCTCCATCTAATCTGAGCTTATGCTACTTTGCAGAGAAGAATGTGACAAATGTTTCTTTGAAAGAGCAAACCTGGTGGAGACATAACCCAACAGACTGCAGCTAGAGCTGTAGCAACAGGTTGATCAATAAAGTATAGGCTGAATGGAGATACACAGACAACTTCATGGATGTTACTGTGCAACAATGAATCATTTTCCTTGCACGTTGCAAAGACACACTACGTCGTGTTAGCATATCAAGTCCCCCAGACACATTAAGCAGTGTGGTTAACCATGACAAAATTCATAAGTGTCAAAAGTTGAAGGCCAGTGAATACCTTTTTCTGTCTTGGTAACACAGAGCATGACTTTGTTGTCTCTTTCAGACTTTTGACCTACGGCTTTATTATTGTTCCCATGGTTTATTTAGCGATAGTCAGAGAGAACCCCTATAGAATTTTCAAGCATGTCTCCAGGGCTTTGTCAACCGCATTTCTCATTGCATCTAGGTGAGATGTTTGTTTGTTGTTGAAGAGCGACACTTTTCTAGTTTCCGCATATGAACAGTGCACCAAAAAAGGATGTTCTTTCTGCCAAAGCACCGCCGCTCTGCCTATTGCCTTACAATGCTGTGAAGAGAATGTGAAGATCAATAAGAAAATCCTCCGCCTCATGTTGCCCATTATCATCTGCATCAACATGAATGGAACAGCAATTTACGAAGTGACCGCTTCCGTCTTTATTGCTCAGATAAATGACATCAAGCTGGAAGTCAGCCAGATAATCTCCATTTGGTAAGCTGCTTCCTCGAAGTGTCTGGAACTGAGAAAAGGTGCATGCTGGGATTGTTAAGAGAAAAGGCTTGACACAATTGTGTGTTGCAGTTGATGCGGTCTGTGCTTGGCTTGCAGCATGTCTACTGCCATCGTCACCTTTGGAATTGCAGGGGTCCCAGTGAAAGGAGCTGTGGGCACTATCATGATTCTGACAGCTGTGGGACTGCCTGCAAAAGACGCTGTCATTCTGGTGATATTTGAATGGCTCCTGTAAGTTCAGCTTGATGCTCCCAGCCTGCTACTGTTTAAAAAGTACTTTAGCCATCAAACTGTCTCATCACCCTGGATGGAGTTATCAGAAAGCTTGCATTTATTTTTGACCAGGACATGATTTTTAATTTGCATGATACACAAATGTCTAGGATAGCCTAGTTGTAGGGAGATTCTGGGGAGAGCCTGTATGATGATTTAATGATTGATAAAACTACCAGTTGTGACTGATGTTGTTACTAGGGATTGTCTGAACTGAAGAGCTCACTATTGTAGAGTTAGGAAGACAAAACATAGTTCAATAACAACATGTTTGTTCTCCTCTTATGTCCCCTTCAGGGACCATTTCACTACCCTGGTGAATGTACTAACAAACATCATGTGTCTGTCTGCCGTCAATCGTTTATGGGAAAAGGATCTGCAAGTACTGGAAGAACAAACAAGGTAATTGAAATCATAAAAAGGACGTGTTCATTCGCAAAGACACAAAAAGTATTTGCTTCCTGATCCAAATCATTGAATTCAGGTGTTCCAGTGACTTCTGTAGCTACAGGTGTATGAAATCGAGCATTGCGACTGCATAAATAGGGTATTCTGAGAAAGAACAGTGAATATGAGTGTGGCGCGGAGATAGGAGGTTCCCATCTCAGCACCACACATTTCCTGGAAGTAGTTCAGGAAATGTAAAGACTGGATTGCTTCCAGTCATAACATTTCCTTTATTGGACTCTAGACCAGTGTGGATGTGCTGTCTGGCATTCCAAGTCCTGTCTCAAAAGTTAGATAAAAAGGTGCAGCAAAGACTATTCTCTCTAGACTCTGGGAGACGATATGGCTCTCCACAGAGCTCCTTCTATCCCTTTACCTCTGATGTGCAGGGAATTTCTTCACAAATCCTAACCACCAGGTTGCGAACAGGAAGGTTCTCCAAAAGATTACTACTAAGGTCATCAAATTATTAGCTGTGCTATTTCCACCCTCGATGGACTCTCCAATTCCTCTGTCATAGAATCATAAAAAATGGTATATTTTACTCTCCATGACTCTTGGACCAATGCGCTACACCTTCAGCATGCGCGGCCATGCTGAAGGTGAGTGGTGAGGCCTCAGTTTGAAGTTCGCCGTTAAACCCCAAAACTGCAATGTCACGTACACAAAAACTCGATGAGACTCTAAACCTTCAGCGATGGATCCAGGTCTGGATCCCTACAACACTCAATCTTCAAATCATGACATCACTTAAGCCAAGCCCTGTGTACGCTCAGTTCACGTGGACCATTGGTTGAAACCCAGCAGAAGGTCGGCCATTTTGCATCAAAGCAGCCATTTTTGTCTTTTTTAAGACACATTAAGTGTGTAACTTTGTTTACTTCAGATAAAGACGGAAACTAATAAATTATCTCTTTTTTAACAAGCAGGCTTTATTTGAGAACAGTCAGAGGGGAAAGTGGGTCATAACAGAGAGGAAAGACAATATAGTGAGTTTCATAAATGTAAAAAAGAACATTTTTATAAAAGTGTCATACAGCAGCTTTAATGTTCTGTGTATTATTCACTCTTAGACCAACACAACCGTGATCTAAATGTCTTCAGCTTGGAGTATTTTTCTCTGAAAGGTTCAATACAATATTGGGACAAATTCTGGTGAAAATAAATCTGGAATGCAGATTGTTAAATGAGCATTGCGACTGCATAAATAGGGGAATTAGTGGGAATGACACAATCGGGTACTTTAGCATCATCATTGACTGTGTTTTCCATTTTCCTTGTTAGGACTGATAAGGTTCGTGCCCCCAGTGAACTCGACCTGGACTTAAGCTGCTTGGAGCCTGATGACGAGCCCGTCCCATCCGCCACCACCCAATCAGAACCCGTTTTACCTCAGAGCTAAAACCACAGGACAGTAATGTCACCATGCTGGTCATTTCCCTGTCCGCTTATAGTTATTGTTAGTAGTACGGTGCCATATCGGTTTATTCATCTCTATTTATTTTCCATCTTATCTCAGTTTTTAACCATTTTAAATTTTACATTTATATGCATTTATGTGAAAATTGTTGATAATTATAAGCATTGTTATGTGTTTGAAGATAATTCATCTTCATTGTTTTAGATTTTATTTGTTATTATTTTGCATGTTTACAAAGATTATATATATATATAAACATTTTAGCTTTCTCTTTATATAACAGAAATATTTCTCCAGTGTTTTCTCTCTAACCAACACGAGCTGCCACAGTTTTTTATCTTCTACAATTGGTTTCCTCCCAATAATAAATCACATTTGTTTATTATCAACAATTGCTTGCTTTATTTGTTCACTTGATTTAATTATTTGGATCATTTCATTGTGCGTCTAGTGGTTAAATGACGGTCTTTGTATGTTTGACCTACATTTCTTGTAGATGACACCTCTGATGTAAAGAGTTTTAAATGTCAGCCAAGCAATGTGGCTGAAATCAAACCTACACATAAAGGACAGGAGCAACGTCCCTGTCACTAAAGCCTTGTAGAACCATTTGCTCTAATGAAAACACAAAAAGCACCTCACTGGTGTCGTCACACTTTGGTTCCTCTGAAATTCTGCAACGATGTAACATCTCATCCAGAACAAAAACGGGTAAAACTCCACTCATTTGACATTTTCTCCTCATGCTGGCGCTTTTTTTTTTTCCCCAGCAGTCAGAGAACCTCAGTTTAATTTCACCAGTATTAACTACTGACATTGAGAATAGGCTCTGGTTGTTTGATTTGTTCCCATTTCCCTCTGATAGGTCTACAAAAGAGTCGCTGATGTAAATAAATATTTAATATATTTAGAGGTTTTACTTGGGCCGGATCACATATAAGTCATGGGTTTGCTCACTGAAGCCAAAAAGTTTAATTACTAAGGTGAAATAACAACACAAGGTATAAGAGTTGACTGTATATGTTAAATTGAATTCATAAGGTAATTAAATAGCAGCAAATATTTACAGCAAAATGACACAGTAGTAAAGTTGTACTTGTTATACAACCTTTGTTGGAAGGAATACAACAAAAGTGATCTTTGGCAAAAATGAATAAAATCAGTAGGAAAATACACTGAAGAAATGACTCAAGAAGTCAAAATAAATTCACAACTCTTGTATTTATTAGTAAACCTGTTTGCTGCCCTGGGCAAATAAAATGGGCTGAATTACAACACATTAAATGAATTTGACACAACCTGGAACAATTTACCGTAGCATTTTTAAAAATTATATATATATAAATGTCCCACAGAATCAAATAACATAAACATTTCAACGAGTTTCCAAGGACACAGTTTTTTAAGTTACAAACACCACATGATTGCAGTACGCAATAGCCAACTAATTTAAACAGCATCTGTTGAAATTATTAGAAAAACGTATCAAACAGTTTCACTTTGGCTCCTGGACGGAGGACGGTGTACCAGTAAACTGTTGTGTCTCCTAGAAAATATGCAAGTCTTTGACAAATGCTGTCGGGTTCAAGGCTACAAGAAGCTACTGTCTGTTGAGTTGATTTAAGCAGGAGAAAGCGACAGAAAGGTCTTTTGAAAAACTCATTTGTTAAATGTTCACAGGTATAATAAACTTTGCATCTAACAAAAGCAAGAGCATGTTTTCCGCTTCTGCCGGAGCAGAGGACCGAGGAAGACCACAGCGTGCACCTTCAGATCATTACAGCAGTATAATCTACATAATCTAATATTTTTTTTAGATGCATAAAAAGGCCAAGACATTAAATATTAGTTTCATGCATCTTTATTCACAGTTTTTTTCTTTGAACACAGCTTCATGAGTGCTTAAATAATTACATGGGTTTCATGAGAACTTTCCAAAACCAACAACATCAGCCACAAGCGATTTGCACCACAGCAGCACAAATATCAGACGCAAGGCAGCAGGAAGTGAAATTCCCCATCTTCAGCCTTTCTGTGACTATCTGAAAATGGATTGTTTACGTTGCACAGCTTCTGACTTGCTGACCCATGGTCAGCAGGAGCAGGAGGTGGCCACAGTAATTTTATTATTCCATTTTAATGTTTGAGTAAAGTGTAAAAAGAACACAACATTATGAGAGTGTGACAGCGGGGCATGGTATTGTGTGCAGCTGCAGAGTTGAGGTGAGCTCCTCAAAGGTTAACTTATGTTTATTCTGTTAATCAGAAATTTGCTCCATTAAAGGTCTATAATAGAAAACGGGGCATATTTAGCCAAACCTCCTTCATACAAGAAGCTATATCAGAGTCACAGGAGTTGAATATGAAGCCTTTCCACTCTGATCTACTTACTTGGGGTGATCTTATCGAGCCCTGGCCAGGCAGGAACGTAGTAGCGAGGCAAGGTGCCCTCCATGAGTCTTTCCATCCAAAGCCCCAGACGGTCCAGTTTGTGGTGAATCTGCAGGGTGGATGTGCTGCGGGATCGACTGGACTTGCGTTGAGGATGACCGTCACGGGAACCGGACCTCGGCTTGCCCACTGACGTCCCGGCTTCGTCTTCAGATGACTTTCCGTCGAGGTCCTCTCCGGTGTAGACCGGCTTGAAGAGACACAAGTACTTTTTGTGGCCGTTCAGGGCCAGCACGAACCCGGTGTAGTCCGTTTTACGGCTCCCGCCGTCGTCCTCGTCTGCGTCGATCTGCGCCGCGTCCTGCGCGTATTCCAGCAGCGTGCTCATCCACTCGCTGTGCTTGTCGAGGTTCAGGAAGGAGAAGTGCAGCGTCTGGGTACTGCAGACGAAAAGGAAGATAGATCTAAAGTCCACACATAAAACTCATACAGCGCGTAAAGTTCATTGAGAGTTTACCCTGTGAAAGAATACACCTCTTTGGCAAACTTGCTGAGAAGGATATTTTTGGAGGCATCAGTGAGAACCAGCACTATATTGATGTGTCCAGGCCTCAGCTTCACCAGGTTGCTGATGTAGGTGATGTCGGTCAACTCCGTCACCTCCACAAAATTCTTCTTTGGGGCTCGGCTAAAACGAATAGCAACACAAAGCTTTAAAAAAAAAAAACCAGCGTAAGTCTTTGATATCGATCCAGGGTTGCTTGAGGAGTATTCTTGCCTCCCTGATGATCCATTTTCTGCGTTAGTTCCATCCTTCACCTTCGGTTTCATCTGCTTATCTTCACTGGAGTCACTGTAACGAGAGGAATTATACTCGTGTTTTTGTTTTTTGTTTTTCTTTTCTCTCTCAGAACAGCAGAGACAGAACCCACCTGAAGGCTTGGATCACCACGGTCCCAAACAGGATGAACAAAGCAGAGAAGATGAGGGACAGAAGAGGCATCATCTCACGCCTGAAAGTGAACAGTTTCACAGTTGGAAAGTTTCTCTCGGAAAGTATGCTTTGAAACTAAAAGTGACACCTACCAGTTGTTATGAAGAATATCGTCAATAACTTCTGAGAGGTAGTCGTAAGATGCATATATCCACCGGACGACAAACATCTAAAGGAATCAAACGTGAACAGTGCTGGGAGACAGAACAGCTGTTTGGCTTTAAGTAACCATTGCAACCATTGTCTTCAAAGCGATCGTACCGAAGCAAACTCGTTGTTGAGTTCAGGCAGCATGGCGTCGTGTACGAGGATGGACGGGTCCTTCTGAAGTCGTTCCAGTTCCTCCAGGAGACGCAGCTTGTCCTCCTCGCTGCCGTTCCAGGCCGTAACCGGCTTGAACAGAGCTTTTCCAGCTGTGTTTCGCCTCTCCAGTATCACCACCTGCACACACAAACCCACAAACTAAAACCTAAAGAAGGACAGAAGGAAGGGAGTCCTATAGCCCTATAACTGATGAACTTTAAGCTCAGCGACTGAAATCAACAATGCATGGTAGAAATCCCCAAAACCAATGTAAAAAACAAACTTTAATAACTGTTGGTTTTGTGCTATTTAGTTGCAGGACTTTTGCACATGCTGTTTGGGGTACTGTACCTGCGGCGTCGACTGAGCGCTGTCCTGGCCGTGCATGAGGATGTCACAGAGTTGTTGCTGCAGCCGCTGGTACACATAAGCGAACCTCACAACATCCCTTGTGTTGGTCGACGCAAACGAGAGGAATTCCTGGTTCCCAGAGGAATACGTCTCTTCATCAGTCGTCATCAACAGAACGCAGTATCTGAGGAGACCAGAGAATAAACTCAAAAAAGAAAGGCCTGAAAATGTGACCAGCGCTGACATCAATTGGATCTCCTTACTTCCTGCGTCTGTGAAACTGTTTGACAGGACAGAGCTCATCAAAGAGCTTCTGATTGACGAGCCGCGGTGCAAGGAGGAACTTGTTGTTTGACATGAACTCGTCGATAATTTGTTTCTTCATTCCTTTCGCCTGCAGAGTTAGGAGACGCTGCATTTTAACGACATGCTAAGAGAAACCACTCTAATATGGAACAATGGCAGAAAGACAGCAGATTTTTGCATGTGTTGCTTTAAAGTACTTGTATAATATCGGCGGGCTTGTCGGTGTTCTCCTTGAAGACCAGCATGGTCGGAGCGTAAGTGTTAATGTTAAAGCGTTTCTGCAGTTCAGCCGTCTCCGCAAGGCCCTGGTCCACATAACCAAACTGCAGGTAGTCCTTGTAAGCGAACGCTGCTAGCTATAAAGACATTATCACAAGTTAATAGCTGACATTTTTACATCCGTAAAACCTCCAATTTATTTTTGCATGCACAAAAATGCCCGGAACCTACTTTGAACAGCAGAGGGACGGCAGGAACTTGATCAAACAGGAGCACGTGTGGCTTGTTGAGCTCATGCCAGCTGTTTAAGAACTGCTTCTCATTTTTGTCGGTGATCTGAAGTACAGGAAACATACAATGCTCCGTGTGTTCTTCTCATTTGATAAAATATACATCAGGTTGATTGGGCACTGATATATTTACCCTCTCCACGACTCTCTGAGGCAGGAGGTCTTCAACAAATTGCCTCAGGTGTTCTTTCGCTACGGCGTAATGGAAAAACGTCACCTTTCCACTGATGACCCCCAGTATGGACGGGGTGCGGTGCGCACCCAGGTGATTGGCTAAACGCCTCTCGTAGCCAACATCGACCACACCTACTCCGACGCCTGCAAAAAGCAAGACATTTACAAATGCGCTTCCATTTTCTCAACCGACTAAAGCAGATCTATGCTGCTCAGAGTTGCTGGTTAAATTTCCATCCAATTTCAGACCTAGACCCTCCATCTCTTGCACCACTTCCTTCCACACAGGCTCGATATGGATGCAGCTGAAGCACCAGTCGGAGGTGATCTTTATCAGGTACGGCCTCCTGTAGCTGTCAGGCACCACCTCGCTGACGTACTGGTTGAAGTGCAGCGTGTACTTGCTGTCGGTGAAGTCTCTCTGGTTCTTGGTGTTGAATGGGAAGTTGAAGAACGACTCGTCGAAGTAGAAGCTGTCTTGGCGATGTCTGTATCGGCTGCTGCTGTAAGCCTGGGTGTCATCGGTCTGCCCGTAACGGTCATAGTTGGCACGTCTGTCCTCGCTGGACAGGATCTGGATTGCAGACCAAGCAAGTATTAGCTCAGATGCCATTTTGCAGTCACACGCACGTTCTTCAGCTGCAAGCGGGTCTTTAATTTTTGCCTTTTTGACACATTCTTCACTGGCAGTAAATCAGAGGCTCAGTTTGACGCTGCTTCCACCATGCAAGACAGGAAGGTTTATAAGTTTGAAAGTCTCACTTCATCCTCACTTCCACTGAGTACTACGACACAAACCCAAGCTGGTGTGGTCCAGCATACTATTTTGTCTATTTTTGATGTAAAGGCAGCCCCTACAACCAACCCATGCTACAGCCTCGTTGGCTTTCACTTGTAGGACAAAGGTACGGTCAATAGACTATACTCACACAGTATAGTCTATTGAAAAATGTTTAAATATGTATTTGATGTTTAAATATTTGTCATTGCACTAGTATGATACCATGTTGGGAATGAAGAACAATTAACGTCTTGAAAAATTACCAAGAAAGTCTGGCTTCTTGGAACGAAAGGACGTAAAAGTATATAGACCAACCTCATAAGACTTTGTGATCTTGATAAACATGTCCTCAGCACCTGGGTCTTTGTTTTTGTCAGGATGCCTTGAGAAGGACAAGTTTCATTAGCTCTGACCTGAGAGTCGTCCAGTGAGAGTGATGGCATTTTGGAAAGAACTCACCATTCTTTGGCGAGGCGCTTGTAGACCTTCTTGATCTCTGCCTGACTTGCACTCCGGGTTACTCCAAGTATTTTGTAAGGGTCCATCTCAGGGGCTGCGTGACTTGATCCTGCCAGTAGGACAGAGAGGACCAGCACAGCCAGCACAGCCAAAGGTGGATTCATGTTTGACCCGGCCATCGGTCACCTTAAGCAGTCACACGTAAAGTCATATGTTCAAACAAACAAACAAAAACAAAGACCTCTTGAATCTTTCTGATGAAACAAGGACATTTAAATAACCTAAAATCCCACACAACTGAATTTCACCAGTTGATGAGCAGAATCACTTCTTGGCATTTTGCAGGAGGGTTTGCTCTCCTTCAACTTTAGACATGTAGTTTCAGTTTCTTAATGTATTTTGATAAAATAAATGAAACCATTTCAGATGTTATGAAATTACTTCCTTCCCAGAGGTGAACCAAACGGTGTGAGAAATCAATATATGATCAGTCCGTGTGTGTGCGTGTGTGTGTGTGTGTGTGTGTGTGTGTGTGTGTGTGTGTGTGTGTGTGTGTGTGTGTGTCAGTGCTTTCACGTCTGTCCATTGCCATATTTTGTTATCATTACCGACCCCACATCAAGCCAGACCGTGGTCCTTGACATCATGGTTCAGCTCAGTCGCTTGTTAATGTGACACAGCGGCTCATCCAAAACGGCGAGGATGACCTGAACCACCACTGCTTACAATAACAGACTGTAAACAATCTGGTTTTTGTCTGATCCGAAAGTTTTAAAGCTGTGACATCAACGCAACCCCTTTTGAATAACGCGTGTATGCTAGTTTTGTTAAGAATTAGTTACCACAGGGGCTGCAGCTTCTCCAGCTTGCTTTCAGTCACCCCGGCTTGACGCGGTCAACCGGCGCAGCGCCACATGCTGAGGATGCGTGCGGTTCCCCTCCAGATCCTCTTCCCGGGCTAAAATGAACGAGTGGAGACCACAGGCTGCACGAGAGGTGGATGTGCTGGGCGTGTTCCGCAGCATCCCACAGAACCTCCAGCACTGGCTAATGACAGTCTGCTGCTGCGAAGCTAGAGGCCAAGAGGAGGCGCCATTTCTCGAAAGTCACTTTGGGAAATTGAGTCGTCTGCGACTCCGTCATGTTGTGAGTGGCAGAAACTCGGTTTTCCGAATAAAAAACACTGAAGTCGACACCTTCAACAAACTTTAACCAATTATTTTTATATACAATAAGATATGTAAATTGTAACAAACATGAAAGTAAATAATTATACATAAATTAACTCAAATAAGACTTTGTTTATATTATTATCATTAGTTATGTACAGTTATCCCAAGTTGGGAAATTCAGGTGTAACAACATAATCAAGATATATTGGTTCACAAAAAATATTTTTTTTAGTGTTAGAATTATATGTAAGTACATGACGAAATCAACCATAATAATGTACAAGACTATAACATTCAAAATACTAGGTTACACTAGCGTTGTTAGAAATATATTAGAAAAATGTACAACGGGTACTAGTTTGGCTAGCGAAACCTTCGGATTATTTCTCATTTTATTTACATTTTTTAAATAGTTTAATAGCTCGGACCGTGAACGTCACCGCACGCTGGACGTTTAAACGAGATACGCTGCGAAAATAATCGAGCGCACATCGTTGTTTCTCTTCCGCCTGCTTCGACCAATCAGAAGAGACAACGGCGACGAAAACAAGGAAGCAATTTGTGCAACCGAGAAAATATGAGGCGTCACATCTTCCTTTTACGCATGAAAACAAGTTTTGTTTTTACGAAACGGTAGGTCATAAACTGGTCTTGAAAAAAATAAGAAACAGGTACAGATTATCTGTACGCCTCTGTTTTTACCGATTAGTTATTAATACGGTGGCCGAAGAATGGAGGAGCAACACAAGAAAATCCTTCAGCAAAACAGGATCAATTTGGTCACAGATATGGATCCTTCAGCCCTCTACGAGCCCCTGGTTGAAAAGGGAGTTTTCACTAAGGACATGATTGAAGTGATAAAGGTGAGACGTCTCGGGAAATGTCACTGTTTGAGTCTTTGTTATCAACACTAAAGGACAAATGACAAAGACTTGGAATGGTGTCTTCTGTCAGAGCTCGGGGACCAGGCGAGATCAGGCCAGACAGCTGGTCCTGGACTTGGAGACCCGAGGGAATGGAGCCTTCCAGTTGTTCCTGGAGAGCCTGCGCGAATCGGGTCAGCTGGGTTTGATGGAAACTCTGCTCAATCCGGCTCCACCGGCTCGGATCCAGCCCGTCGCGCCCATTGCGGTCCGCCCTGTTGTGCAGCCTCTGCCCATCTGTGAGTCAGACACCAGCAGCGTTCACCGTGACTTTTGTTTTACACAGAAAACTCTCTCATCTTTTTATTCATCCTGTCTCTTCAAGCCTTCAAGCCTGTGGATGTTGGTAAACAAAGCAACTATATTGTCCCCATCTGTCCCAATAAGTCTTCCAGTCCAAGTAAGAGAAACAAGTCTTTATATACTTTTTTTAATGCATGTAAATAAGCCCATCGTTTTTTTTTTGTTTTTTTAACTTGTCTTCCCTCCAAACGTGTTCATTGCTACTAGCTTTCTAAAAAAAGAGAAAAGTCATAGCATTTGTTTCACTACCCACTTGAAGAACAATTAAAATGAGTTACAAAACATTAAAATAACAAATTCACTTTTGAAAATTGTTATAAACGAAACAGTGGATTCATAAAAAGGACTTTGTTGTAAAGTACACTTTCTCAACTGTTGATGAACTGATGTACAAATCCCATTGCTAGAGTGCAACTATGTTTGAATACAGTTTCTCGATAATGCAAATCATAGTCATATGTCAAATATGGATAGATTGGCAAAGGAAGAGATGCATTGAATGCTCTCTAGGTAGTCAAAATGTACTGATGTGTCCCATTGTTTACATTGGGCTTTCATCCAACATAAAGTATTTCAATCCATCTGCTTTTATACTTTAAAATATGCAAAGTGATACAAAGTGATGCAAATTCTTGTAGGTAAAGGTAAACTTTAATGCATATAATCCTACAGCACCTGACCAGGAGTATTTTAAACCAAGGCCAGAAGGCAGGACACGCCGAGATAGCCTCCAGGTAAATACCATTTAATTTTCACTCATGTTCTTCTTTTGCTCTGGGTAAACAAAATAATTTCTGGTCACATATTGTTTTTGTATTTTTGTGTGGCAGAGCTATAAAATGGATTCCAGTCCATGTGGTTGTTGCCTCATCATAAACAATACAGACTTCGAGCCTCAAAGTATGCTCAGCAATCGCAAAGGCTCCAACATAGACAGTGAAAAGCTGGAGAGAAGATTCTCAGCACTCAACTTTACTGTGGAAGTCAAGACAAATCTGAAGCATAGAGTGAGTCTTTTCTTCTATGAGTGTTTCTGAAACGGTGTAAAAAAAAAGAAGTTCCGGCGTAACTCTTTGTCTCATTTCAGCAAATGAAACAAGAACTGTCAGCTCTGTCCAAAAAGGATCACTCTCAATACGACTGCTGTGTGGTTATCATCCTTTCCCATGGAACTGAGGTCAGTCTTCAGGTTTTCTTTTTTTGTTTTTCTTAAATCAGTTACAATGGGGGTTTTTTTGGTTTATTTTTAGTTAAACAAAATTGCTAGAAGTGTGGTAGATTTTTTTCTCTCTCACAAATTAAAAATGTTATATTAGGCTTCAAAAAAAATTTTCACCAAAGGGGCCAATAAACATATAGGAGCAAAATTAGGCATAATGTTAATGAGAGAATATTTGTTGTCATTTCTTAAATGAAGTAGAAGTTTACAGATTTACAGGACCTATGACATTTCAGCCACAAAAGAGTTCCGCAGAAAACTCTTTGAAACTAGATCCGCTTGATATTAAATACAGTAGGCATCTCAAGAACATATGTGCTTAAATTATGCTTATAGGTGAATCATAGACGTTTTCCTGGTGCCGTGTATGGTACAGACGGGTCTTACATCACAGTCCAGTACATCACAGAATTATTCAACGGCAAGGACTGCCCTTCTTTGCAAGGAAAACCCAAGCTGTTCTTCATTCAGGCCTGTGGCGGAGGTACATCAGAAAACACCAAAGACATTCTTATTTTGATTTGAAGTCAAAATTAAAATGTAAAAAAAAAAACAACAACATTCTCACAGAGATGCTTTTCCTCTCTTTAAGATGAAAAAGACACAGGAGTTGAGATGTCTCCTGAGGAGACTCGCCCGTCGGTGGGAGGGCAAGACGACCAGACAGACGCCATCCCCACGTCGTCCAGCAGCGAGTCTCTGACTGACGTGGTGGACGCCAAAGCAACACTGCCCACCCTAAGTGACATCTTGGTGTCCTACTCTACCTTGCCCGGTATGTCTGAACTTTTAAATTGTGTGTGTTGTCACCGAGAACATCCTGCCAGCCTGACGGCTCTTTGACCAATTCAGGTTTCGTTTCCTGGAGAGACACACAGGCAGGTTCTTGGTACGTAGAAACTCTGGACTGCATCCTTGAGATGAACGCAGCCACTGATGACTTGGCCGCCATGCTGATGATGGTGAGTTTCACTTATTCGACCGCCACAAAAAGCTTCCCTATCAAGGTCTTTTTAAACGACCACAATCGTCTCCTGTTTGTCACGGTTTATTTTCAGGTTAACAACGAAGTCTCCCTACTCTGTGCAAAAGGGCTGTTCAAGCAGATGCCCGTCTCCTTTAACTTCCTTCGAAAATTTCTCTACTTTCAAACCCCATGCATAGCGGAAGACTGCTCCTCTTCTGAACATATTTGACTAGTTAATTGTAAAATGTGGGAATTTTTTTAAATCAATTTTGTATCTGTTGTTAGAAATAATGCCTCAATGTGGATATTTTTTAACTGATTTAAAATGCAGATTTCTACATGGACTCATGGACAATTCTACAAAGAATATGCATTTACACTGTAGAAGTTTTACTTTGAGGTAATTTATGAGTGGAGATTTTTTTGATGTCTGAGCCAAGAAAAGAAATGAATCCACAATCTCGTACTGTACATGAGGTTTAAGATAATGTTCAAAACACCGTCTCTACATGTTGTCTTTCTGTCCATATTTCTCCGTTGTATTTTCAACTTCTTTAAGTTTTCCTTTGCTCTTTTTAGCTGATGTGGTGAATGACGGGCAATTTACAATCTATCCTTCACATATCATCGCTTCCAACTAAATAAAGCACCTTTTACTATTACGTGTTCTCGTCTTTCTTGAGTAATATTTCTCAAGCTTCTCACAAAGAATGAAACTATTCCCCCTCAATCCCCACAAGTTTTATGAACATTTTCAAGTGCCCTTTTTTCTTCCAACGTTAGTAAGAAAATATTTTCACTCCAGCTGTGAACTCTTATTTAAGGCAATCCAATTTAAGTGCAATTTATTGTACCTAAAACGTTTTATTTTACCCAACGGGAGCTTCTCAGTCCATTTGGACACCATTCATTCTTCCTTTTATTTACCGATGTTCCTCTGAGTCCTTTTCTGAGGTATCTGAGCACACATCTCGGATATCTAGAAAAGTTGCTTCAACACAGCGAAAGTTTACTTACGACTCTTCATTGCAAAAACAAATCAATTCTGATACGAAAAGAGCCAGCACGACTCCAAAATGTGGCTGCAAGAGCTGGCCAACACATTACATCTGGAAAAATAAAACATTTGTTGAAGGATAATACATCACTGTTTCAGAGCATTTGGCAAACCTTTACAGATTTCTTACAAACTGTGTTTGCATAAATAACACATTTATGAACATTTCTACCTATGTTTATATCTGAGTTTGCTTCTTTCTTTGCTGTTGTCTGCTTTGTTTCTTTTTTTTTCATTCTTGTACAACAAACTTGATGTCTGCTTTGTTAATTAAAATATGTGATAAAAAGTGCTCAATAGAAATGACTCAATCTGCAGTTAAGAAAGTTGGTGCAACTGTGGCAAACCGATTTAATGAGGCACATATTAACAAAGGTCACATGGTTATTTTGATCCATAAACTATTAAAAGAAAAGTATCATAAAGTTACTTAATGTAGTGTGTTTTAACTTTTAGACCCATCAAACGTTAGGATGAGTCTTTAACTGAAGTAGTAGATGCTCTAACCCATCAAGGCATGTTTATTATTTTAATCCTTCCCGCTGATCTTGGCTTGGCTCACAGCTGCAAGCATCTTGAACTCTTTTTTTTCTTTCCACTTCTCCACTCTCAGTCTGGATGTCTGCTTCATATCCCTCTTGGGGTTATGATGTTATTGTAGATTTTTGGTGTGTTATAGTCATCTGAATAAGTGCCACAGGTATCAGGTTCAGGCTTCTTTTGAAAAACAGTCGGCTGTCCTAGTTTCTCATGAATAAATACTGAGCGAGCCTGTTCCCACCTTCAGTCTTTCTGTCCACCAACGTTTGAGTCTTCTATAACCATGATGCTCTTCGGCGTTACTTTATGTGAGTATAAACTTACTACTACTGTGGAAAAGTGTCTTACTGGATGAGGTTGAACTGTTTCTGATTAGTCATATGTAAGCGAGGAATTAGTAAATTTTCTTTTCCAGATCTGGTATCAACCTGCCTGCTTGTGGATGCAGGTACACAGCTTTTCTGTCTGGTTTGAAGAAGTGTTGATACATTCCCAAGCCTCTTGCATTATAATCATACTCTTATGATGCATTCTTAGGTGTCTCTAATTTGATCGTTACCACCTGTGTGGACAAGGCTGTGCATCGTTTGAGCTGTGGTAAGGCTTGAAACTAAAGGATTAAGAGGTTGGTGTAGTGTCAAACTAAAACTGTTAAAAGTCTTACTCAGTTTTTTTTCCTACAGATTTGGAGAGCGTGATAAGCGTCACGACGTCCCTGTACGGACGTAAGGACAATGTGACGTGCAATGAAGAAAAGCGTTCAAACGAGGTTTCCAACACTAACTGCTCTCTTGTTGGCGTCACTGATGTCTTCAAGAAAAGGTACACAGCTGTGTAGGTGTGTAGTATAGAATAATTACATGCATATTTAAAGTTGTTACATGTCAGACGTTTTGTGACTCCACATTTGTTTATGCAGATGTAATGGAAAAAAGGTGTGTGAGCTGAGCACAGATGTCTTTGGCAAATCGGATCCGTGCAAAGGCACCGCCAAATATCTGCAGACCACCTACACCTGCCTTCCTGCCAGTAAGTAGGGAGATTTATATTGCATGCACTGCCGTCACAGCAGAACAGTTTGGGATTCATTTTGTAATTTCTGTAACTTTTTCAGTTCACCGCATCATATGTGAGGACTCTTTATCACACTTAAGTTGTGGTAAGATTTAAGTTTTTTTTCAAAATGCCTATAATCTACATGGCAAAAAACAAATCAAATAAAAATAATCCATCCTTCCTTGTTGTCAGATCAGGGACAGGTTATTGTTGTCCATGGCGCTGATTACGGACGCAGAGACCAGACCACGTGTCAGTATGGACGCCCAGCCAATGAGATCCAAAACACAGCCTGTTCCAGCCCCACCAGCAAAGTTGCTGAAAGGTAGTTTCTCCACTCTGTTCCAGCTTGCTTCGGCAAGGCTGTAGAACTACAATAACTTCAGTTGAGAAACCGTATTCGTTGCGTGCCTTTACAGCTGCCATGGGAAAAACAGTTGCGTTATTAAAGCCAGCAACTCTGTGTTTGGAGATCCTTGTGTGGGCACTTACAAGTACCTGGAGGTGGCTTACCACTGTCAATGTAAGTGGACTGAAATGCTGTCTGGGGCTACAGTGAAGTTAGTGCAGGTCTACGTCTGCCAGCAAAAAAAGAATAGAAGCAAATGTTTTTAAGCAGCTAGACGCTTTAGTATATAAATATAGATCTTTATTGTTTCAGTTTTTGAGTAGATTTGGTATTTCATTCTAAAGTAAAAGTGTAACTATGTTGCTCCATCAGTACCTTAAAACAAAAATCTTATGCTTTGTTTTTTTTTTCTCCCCAGATGGAGTCACTCCATATGAGCTGATGTAACAACAAATCATACAGAAAACACAAAATAATCAGCTCTCGTTTAAGGGCTCTTTTCTTGCTTATCTACTTTTTCGTGTGAAATAAAATGCATAAAAAGTTTGAAAAAAAAAAAACTGTGCAACAGTAACAACAGATCATACAGAAAACACAAAATAATCAACCCTCGTGTTTAAGGGCTTTTCTTGCTTATCTACTTTCTCGTGTGAAATAAAATGCATAATAAAAGTAAAAAAAAAAACTGTTCCTTTTTTAAGACTTCTGCCAGGAATGTGACTTTTGCCTGGTAATTCGAGGTGTTCCAGGAAGTCAAAGAGGAGGAGATAAACGCGAACAACAGGTGCTATTGATGTTCAGGAAATCTGCAACACACAATGCTGTTACTGTAATTCATCTCCAATAAGCTCTTTGTACAGGTGACATTTTAAATGTTAGTCAGAGGAGGCTCCATTTGTCTTGGAGACAGTTTAATGCTGACGTTTAACGTATTGCAGTCTGTGTTTCAACTTGAGTCTGAATTTTAAAGACACAGAAGTTAAAATGATTCAATAAATCTGTACATTTATAAAATTAGAAATATAAGTGCTGCTCCCAGTATACAATATCATGTCACTGAACCTAAATAGATGATCTTATTATCTATTTAACAACTATATCTTTGAAGTGCTTTGTCAGAGTTGAAAAATGTTGAACTTTCTAAAATTTAAACTGGTGGGGAGAAGAAACTCCCTCTACACATAAAGCAAAGTGTTATGCTTTATAAATGATTTTGCTGCCCGTAAAGCAACCAATCTCTCTGCTGACCAACAAATAAACTTATCATAAAAGTTCCCTTATCTTACACTTGAATCAAGGATTTCTGTTGAATTTTGCAGTCTCACTTCTCCTTTTGTGTGTCAAAATACTATAAAAAAGAGAATCTGTTTAGAAAAACTGGATGGAAAATTAACACATCTCTAATGGATTAGTGTCCACATTGTATTAGTTGTATTAATTCTATTATAAACAATCCGTGGACTTGCCAGGGTGTGTTTTAAATCCTGTCTGAGAAGAGAGAGAGATCCAAACGTCTCACCGATGCAGACAATCACAAACCGTTTTTAGTCCGCAGCGTGATCGGTCATGGTTGAGTCAGTCGGGCCTGGCTTTGTTTGGCTGAAGCTTTCTGCCAGATTTCTACCCTGAGCACATCAACCTAATTTCACAGCTTAAAATCAGTTCCATGATCAGAACTGTAACATTAAAATACATTTAATTAAGTTTAAATGTGGATTATGGAAAATAATGCCGGGAACCTTCATTTGACCAATTTAAACCACGACTTCAGACGATCAAATGTTCGTTAACGTCAAATGAATGCTTTGTCACTGATGTAGTGATTTTGCACTTGAAAATTCAACAGAATGTCATACCAATGGGTTTTCCTCAGCAATACCAATAAGGATAAGTAAATGATTCACATATTTTATGGGGAACCTGTAACCGTTCAGTACAGCAGGAAGTACATCTGGGAAAAATCACAGAACTGACTACTTTTACAGTAAATGGATGAGTCATCTCAAAGCTTATTTGAAGGTGGAAACACCAAGCACAGTTACATTTGGTAACTTTGGATTTACTTTCATTAATTTTTCCTTTTTCTAACTGCAAAATGATTATGCATGATCCTGTTAATGGGAGGAGCCACACTTTGATCTTAATCATGTTATTTGTATAGTACAGTAAAGTCATTGTGCTCTTCTTTTGTTGCTCCGTCTTGACCTGGTTACACTTTAGTCATGGTCACATTTTTTTGCAGGTGGATTAGAGCCAATTGCATAAAGTCAAGCCTTTGTTCAGCTCTTCATCCAGCCACATAAATAGAAGAGTCTTGTGTCAGCATCAGTCCAGCTTCCCGTTGGAGACGACAATCTTTGAACCATGATGTTCTTCACACTCAACTCTGCACTATGTGAGTACTCTCAAAATTATAACAGTGATCACCGGTTTGACAACCCAAAAATACCTAAATATATTCTCTCAGTGTGATTATATTCTGCTAATTTTATAAGTAACATCTATAAAACAGAATGAATATGTTTGGCCAATTTCACAATAAAATGTAAAGTGAGCTTTTTCTCTGTCCCTAGTGCTTGCAACAGCTTGCTTACACATGGTCTCTGGTAAGTATTTACAGTTATGGAAATTGACATAAGCAATACTTTTTACTTAAAGAACTTTTTTTGCTTTTTTACAGTTGCTGCTACCGAAAAGGCCACAACCTGTGACGACAGCGATAATATCCAGCATTTGAGCTGTGGTTAGCTAAAAGATCTAAATTTACTTGACAATAGAATAAATCTTACAAAATGTAACCTTTACAAAAATGCTTCTCGCATGTTAAAACATATTAAAACTATTGCCACCTGCAAGAATGCATCTCTCACGGTCAACGCGTACACATGAATGATTGTTTATGCTGTTATTGTTTGCTATTTTTAAATGACAACCTCTAGTTTTTTTGAGCAGTGCATTTTTGTAGATGACAATAGAAGGCAGAGGAAATGTTTTTTACACGTTATACTATCCCGACATGGTGATAGCTTTAACAAATATCTAAGAAAGAAACATTTCCTTATAATAGTTACTGCAGCTTTCAGTCAATGGCTTGATTGTAAACTATAAACTTTAGTCAAGCTTGTTGTATCTGAAAAACTGTCTTTGCATATTAGGAACAGAAATTAAAGCTAATATTGAGTACAGAACATCCAGTATTGTTCCTCATGGTTTTCTGTTGCGTGTAACAGATGACGGAGTGATCAGTGTGCAGTCAGCCCTGTATGGACGAGCTGACCGGCAGATCTGCAGTGAGGGCAAGTCTCCCCAGCAGCTTGCCAACACGCAGTGCTCTCAACGGGGGGTTGTGGACGTCATCAAAAACAGGTAACCTCATAATGACCAACTTTAGCTGTCAAAACTATGCTGCTGTGCACAGCAAGTAGGGGCGCAAGTATGTACTTTCCGAGCATAATGATTATCTCAAATCATTATGAGATAATGATTTATCTCATAATGATAAATCAAGGTTGTAAATAAACATTTACAACCTTGCATGCAAGCAATGGTTGATATCTGCAGCCTAAAAGATTACTGAAGGTTAGAAAAACAGGAAAGTACCCTTTACATAAAAGATGCACAATCTTTAGGTAGAGAATAACTAACTGGTGAGGAGTCAGAGATTTAGTGATTGTATTGAATCTTCTCAATACATTATTTCTCTTTTATTGTGCTATTGAGGTTTCAGTGGCATGCTTTGTCTGTCATTGTAACAGGTGTGATGGCAAGAAGGTGTGTGAGTTCAGGACAGATGATGTTCGCAGCTTCGATCCCTGCGTCGGCATCGCCAAGTACCTGGAGACCAATTACACCTGCCTCCCAGCAAGTCAGTCAACTATGAATGGCACTAAGAACTGAGCAGAGCTGCACATAACGTTGTGAAATGTCTGAGGTTGACCATGTTGTTCATTTTCACAGTTCGCCTCGTCACATGTGAACACTCCTATGCACATTTGCAATGTGGTGAGTACTTATTTTCCATTTACAAATGAATGTGTATGAATTAAACAAACATGGGCATGATTACTTTCTCACTGCTGCGTGTGCAAGTTATTTTCCTGCTTTCTGTCAGATTATGGACAGGTCATATTTGTCTATGGGGCCGATTACGGACGTCGAGACCACACCACCTGCTCTTACAGACGACCTGCCTCTCAAACTGAAAATGTTTACTGCTCAAACCCCACCAACATAGTGGCTCAAACGTAAGTACTGGGCCACTTTCCTAAGAGGAATAAACATAAAACAACAAAACAAAACTCTTCATACCCTAGCCCTAACCCTTTTGACCTCAGACACAACTAAATGCGGCTCAAACGTTTTACAGTGTATCCACAACAAGATCCAGTACAAACATTAGCTTTTAGTACAGAGCTTTAAAGTGTTAGTCTCCAAACAGATCTCTTGACTTTACTTTTTTGTTCCACTTATAACTTGCAGATTAAGCTAAATTTAATTGACAAAAATGCGTACCAAGTAAAAACAAGTAATACTATTACCTGGTCATCCGCAGCTGCAACGGGAAAAGCAGCTGCACAATCAGAGCCCGCAACTCAGTTTTTGGAGACCCGTGCACAGGCACGTTCAAATACCTGGAGGTGGCTTACAGATGTGAATGTGAGTATCTTAAAGGCTTTTTTGTCCCTTTATGACAAAGGTGTGCCATTTTCTTAGAGCAACTATCATTAAGTGTCTCTTCTGATTTGAAAATTCTGTTTTGTTTGCAGATTTTTGAGTGACTTCAGAAAGAGCTGCATGATCAACACAAGAATTGGAAAACACATTGTTAGCACATATAATTTTATTTTGTACAAAATAATACCCAGATTAGTATAGGTCATGCTAATGTTTAAAGTCTGTAATTGGACCAGATGGTTTTATTATAGGATTTGATTATATGATTATTTTCTCAGCAGATGTTGGCAAATGTGTTTGGTTCCCATTGAGGAGTTACATTACTCAGGTCTGTCTAAAGAATCAAAACTGTCTAGAAATAATAAATTTAGCATCTATGTCATTGTTGTGTCCATGAATTGTTTTTTTCTGACTGAACTCCACATTCTGGTTCAGTTACCATGTTGTCCCTTGCATGAGAGAAAGAATTATGCCAAAAAACGGAAAAGATAAATCATGAAAGTTCATGAATCAAAATAAATCTGTAAAAATGCAAGAAAAAGTGACCAGTTAAAGTAAGTGATTTTTGTATGTGTATAAAAAACAAGATCACAGGAAAATACACATTTGGAGTATTTGTTGATTGGGGATGCATCCAAAAATATGAAAAATTCATACAATAACTAGATACATTTACAATCGGTCAATATTTCATACAAATGTGTTTGTTTTGAATGTGTGAGACGACTAGACGGACCAAAAGAACTTGAGAAAAGCTCAGGGTTCAAATGGGAAACCCGTTAAATTAATCGGCTGTAAATGGGTGTTGACATAAAATATTACTACCAAATGACAGTGAAGTTACTGATTTCTTTGGAGAGATCCGTTTTTGACGGGTAAACCACCTTCAGGTTCCCGTCTTGATCAACGGTTCGGACCTGCTGGACGATGAGTTGGCTGGAGGTTTCTGCGTCGGCGGCCGGCTGCCGTGCGCCGTCCTCCTCTCCGTCTGACCCGGCCTCCTCCAGATGTTCGCTAGTGAACTTGTTCAATTCTGCCATTTTCTGGTGGGGAAACAATCAACCGTACAATGAAGCTGCTGCTGCTGCACAAACACATGTCAGAACAATTAAATTAACATTTTTAATTTGATGAATTCTGATTAACAAGCCTTGAAACAAATGCAATATGAATCTAATCAATCATTAAACATTTGAGCAACTCCGCATTGTAATGCAGCGTAAATTTTAATCACATACTAAAAGACAAGAAGACTCAGAAAGTGTTTTAATCATCGTTGTTTATCTGTACTTTTTTCATCTTCCTCCTGACCTGACTACACACTCCTGACCTGACATTTGAAGCCTGTGAGAAGCCTGTACTTTTGGTGAGAGTAGGAATCAGTGAACAGAAATTTAAAAACATGCAGTTTTGAACATTTTATTGGCTTTCCAGTGAGAAGACTGTAAAGCTTATAAAATAGTTTGGTAGCAAAATGGCTGAAAATTGCATCAGATCTATAATTTTGCAACTCTTGTTAGGCTTGGCGACATTTACCAACTCTTCACTTCAGAGGGGAATTTTGGGGATTTTTTCTAAAACGCCATGTTCTTTCAAAACCTTGCACTCGAAAATAAAATATTCAAGTCAAGTCAGGGGAAAAACAACTGGAGTGCATGAAAGAGACACAACATCAAGTTGGCTGAGCAGTTCACCTCGGGGAGACTGTGTGTTATCGATTGTTCGGAAAACCGATCAATCATTTGCTGGTGCTTGGAAATAAATAAACAAATCAAAAAAATTTCATAATGAAAAAATATACATCTACATTTGTTGATATAATCAGGTCTCAGAAATGAGCGGAAATCAAATCTTTTCACCAACATTCCTCCACCTGAAGGACGTAAAATATAACACTTTACTGTCACACATCCTGACGCTTGTCAGATGTGAAAATTTGATTTAATAGGTGGAGAAAACAAAATAGTATCAGCAAAACAAGATACAGAAAATGGGACCCTTACTATGATCAAAGCATCCATTACATCTTTACAGGTCTGCAGGCTGGTTGAGCTCGTCACTTCTACCAGCAACTCTGTGGTTGTCTTCTTAATCTGCACAAGAAAGAAGTTGTGTACTCTATTATACAGCAAGAAGTATCAAAACAATATATTGGGGTATGACAGAGTCATCTTGCAAAACCACATACACTTGCTAAATTAAATGCAATTCGATTTCTGTAAAGTGTTTAAATGAGTGTTGTTCAAAACTCATTTAACTGTCAAAGTGTCTTCAAAAGAGAGCCAGCAGACAAACACTATGCACGGACCTTGGTTTTCTCACTGTTAGTAATTGGTGGAAATGAGATCACATCTCCATCTGCATCCACTAAGCAGGGGTAGACGGATTTCCCTTCCAAAAGCTGCAGGTATCTGTTGAAGAAGAAATGTATAAAATGCATAAACTACGTGGCAGACAAGGACCAGCACATGGCAAAAGAATACTACATGAGACAAATCCAAAAATAGAATCCAAATTCAAGAGTGTTTTTGCCGACTGAAATGCCATTCCTTCTCTGCGACCAACTCAAAAGAGGAGTTATGACAACCAACAGTCCAGTATTTTTTCTTCTGACATTTCCACTCAAGTCCCCATCAATATGTGTTCCCTGTTAAAGTGTCCTTAACTAAAACCTGGATGAAGGCCTCTGTTTCTGCTGGACAATTCCCAAGCCAGCAATCTTCCCCATGACTGTGTAAGTCACAACATGTCTATAATGTTAAGCTGTGACAAAGTCATTTTTTTGTGGTCAGATGCAGTGTTGACATTTCCAGAGGAAACTAACTCTGCAGCTGCTGTGTAGTGAGGAAGGGTTACTGACTTGTGGAGGCCAGTCACATTCTGCCTCTTCTTCTGCTTCCTGAGCTCATCGGCCTCTAAATGCAGATGCCTTATCAGCTCGACGGCCGTCATCTCCCTCCGACCCAGAGGCACCACCTGAAAAATATTTCATTCAACAGAGAAACTTAAGATGTTTTTCATCTGCACAACACTGTGCAGACATCTTCCACCACTCCTTTTATTATATTTAGCCAAAGACGTTCCTGCAGTATTTTGGTTTCCTGAAGGCCTGTTAACCTACTGATGATGGTCAGTAGGCTGAGCTTCCTCAACTTGCTTTTTACGAAGCTGAATTCAAATGAACGCCCTGCAGCGGCATACCTTCAGTTGTGTCGGTGGTCTCACATCGTAGACCAGTGGACCTTTCACAAGCTGCGCATCATGGGTCGCGATGGTTGCAATCGTTCTTCTACCACACAAATCATCGTGAAGCTTTGTCTGCAAAACATTTGCGTAGTTACACATTACTAACTAGTGGTAGGAAGCATTTAATAAACATAGCATTTTGGGTGTTTGGTTTATACCTGAGCCATGAGGAAGCGTTTCAGAGCATTCCCTTGCTTGAGACTCATTCCTCTGACCAGGCAGCACACCAGGTACGGTCGGACATCTTTGACCTCAGCGGTGACCTTAACTGTGAGCGCTGTGGGCGCCTCGGAGACATGGAGCACCCTCACCACCATCTTGTTCAGCTCCTCCACCTCATCGTTTTCCTCCCTCACCTTCCCCTTCTTCTTCTTCTGCTGCTGCTTTTTCTTCTTGTCAGAGTCACCTCCCTCTTCATCCCGTCTTCCTCTTCCTTTGCCTCTGAGGTACTCGAGGATGGACTTGGTCTGACAGCAATTGACCATCTTCTCCAGGCGCTTGTCGCTGAGCTTGTTGCCCTTGAAGTTGATCTCCTTTAACTTGGGGCAGTCGCTCAGATCTGAAGGAATCTCACTCAGCTTGTTGTTGGAGACGTCCAGTACCTGTGAAGGCCGGTGTGAGGAAATTCAAAACCGTATGCACGAGTTGAGTGTCACACCCTAGAAAAATAGCACATTTTGTCACCTTACAACTGTAAACTTCAAGATTTTATATGAAGGGTTTATGTAACAGATTACGGATGAAAGTTCTAGATTAATGAGTTCATCTAAAGTTGACTAATCTTATTGATAGACTAACAATCAATTGTTAAGCAGCCATTTTCTTAAAAACCTGACTTTTCTCTCGCATGAAGTTACTAGTTGATGGGAACTAATTTTAATCTAATAAAACATTAATTCGACAGTTAATCGTAATTTGATTTATTGTTTACATCTCTATAATAGACCAACACAAAGTAGTGCATTATTATGATGCACTACTTCAAGGAAAATGACAGCTGGTTTTGTATGTTTTCAGTAAAGAAAACCGTAAAAAGTGTGGAGTGCGTATGTGTTCGTACTTCCTGTGACTAAACATTGCAGAGCCAGTTTTGCAGAGTATGTCTCTCTACCAGCTTTTCACATCAGGAGTCTGGCATTTTTGCACAGGTGGATTTTCCCACCTGAGCAGTGAATCTCTGCAGCTCCTCTCCAGTCACTATGATTTTTCCACTCCTAACTAGTGTGTCGTGATTGACTGCATAGTACTTTGTGAGACCTCACCTTTAGAGCTGATAGCTTGCAAATCTCTCCACTCAGCTCCTGGATTGAGTTATCAGAGGCCACCAGGGTGCTGAGCAGGTCCAGCCGCTCAGAGAAGAGGTCAGGAGGGAAAGTAGTGATTTGGTTCTTGGAGGCATTGATGGTGGCCAGCTTGGTGCACTGACTGAGGCCACCTGGAAGAGCCTCCAAGCAGTTGCAGCTCACATTAAGCGTATTCAGCTCCTTTAACTGAGTGATCCCTTGTGGCAGGCATTTGAGGTTGTTGACGGACAGATCCAGGACCTTCAGCGACTTCAGGTTGCCGATGACTTCCGGGACAGAGGTCAGCTTGTTCCTGCACAGGACGAGGCTTTGCAGGTTGGACAGATGCTGGATTTCCACGTGGATCTCTGTCAAACTCGGACATTGGCTGACTTCAAGATAATTCAGCAGCTGCAGGGAATAAAGAGAAGAGGGAAGCCCGCCGCAGGAAGAAATCCTCTCATCAACACCACCGCCCTGCAGAACCAGCTCACGTCTCTGCTCTGTCGCCGCTCTCTCTATTTCGGGCCACTTTTCCATGTTAGTCAAGCTACCGAGAAATGAAAGGAGTTAGATTGAGCTTCTTCTTCTTCTCCTCACACGAAGCTTGAGGAGCTTTACTGCCACCTGCTGGACTGAAAGATGTGGACGGCATGGAAACCAAACTTTTTTATAAGTCAATAAATTAAAACGTTATGCAAATTTTGTGTGCTTTATTTTAGCAACTTAAATAAAACAGACAAATCTGATTTATTTACTTCTTCTCTTTCAGGTAAAGTTTAGAAGACTCACCAGGCATCCACTGACAAACACACCAACTTAGCAATCACATGCACATTTATGGTTTATGTCTTTTTTTTTTTAAGAAAATTAAAAAGGAAGCCTTATGTAATTTATGGAAGCATGTCCATCAAACTATATAATTGGAAAAACAAAAGCATTAGCAGCAGTCAGAGATTTGTTTTCTTGTACATAAACACATAGGTGAGTAATCTGTCCTGTTTCCACTCAAAAATTATAATTATCCAGAAAACAGTGGAGTACTGCTTAAGTCTCACAACCCATATTTGGAAGAAAGAATTACAAAAGATTAAAGGTTATGTAGCACCAACTTTATCCAAATAGTTGAATGAATAGCTCAAAAATTAAAAGAAAAATAATTTTAAAAAAAAAACATTATCTGAAGAAATGTTTTTATAGACCCCTAAGAAATATGGCAATCTAAACAGACTGCCAGAAGTTTTAACTTTTAAAAATGTTAAGCAACTAATTTAAAGTGAAAATCTGCAATATTTTTACACCGACTAACAGAGTGCTGTAACATTTCACTCCATACAGTGAAATGTTCTCTTGGGTCAAGCTAAGGTTGAAGAAGTGTTGCAGAATCCTACAGAGCTGCTCTGCACAGGCCTTCAATACTCTGGGGCTGACACCATCTGGACCTGTTCCGGTTCAGTCTCTCCAGCTGCCTCTTGACCTGACTTCTCGAAACAGAAAAGTGAAAGGTGGAGGACAAGGGAGCAGCAGCATCTCCTGATTTGGTTGAAGAACAACCTGCTGAAGCAGAAGAGTCCATTTGCTGAGACGATGAAACGTCTGAGGTTTTACAGGAAAGTTGTGGGTCAGAAGTGGATGGGTTGTTTGCAATCAAATGATGACATCACTTAGGCCACGCCCCCTGAGAACAGGAAGTGTCATGTTTTACTGTTTGGTTCTGAATTTCATAGTTTCGGGCCGAGCTGCTCCAAACTCACTTGGATGAATTCTTATCCACCCACCAACAGGAATCCGTAACAAAATTTGCTGAGCTTGTAATAATTTCTGTATAGCGCCCCCTAGAATATTTTAAATGATCAGCCCCAAGCCATGCTTTAACCTAGAATTACAAAAATTGGTACACATGTATCTTGTCAGTACGTACAAAAAAGTCTCTTGGAGCCATGATCTAAACCCAAGAGGAAGTCAGACATTTTGGATTTTTTCTTCAACGCCACAGCAGCCCATGAAATACTGAAAATTGCATTTATCCAGGCCATCTTAACATAATAATTATTTAAATATACATTGTAATATGTTTTTTTTCTTATAATTATTAGTGTACAAATATTGATTAAGTTCTGTTAAAAAATAATATAAAGTACGTCAGCAGTCAAGTTCACAAATAATTTCAGTCGCTGGCCACTGGGGGTCAGTATTACTTCACAAATGACAAAATTGAATGACAAGCAGCGAGCTAAACAGGAAATAACTACACCAGTATGTCGCCAGTAGGCAGTGGCGCAAAAATGATCTGGGTAATTTTTTTTCTAGTCAGCATTTTATGAACTTACCCGCTGTTTGTATATGAAATTATCAGTAACAGAGGAACAGCACTGATTAGCCGACCCTCTCCACTCTCAAACAGCTAGCGTGGCAAGCGTCACTTCAAAAACGACTGAGGCGCGTTTCTTTTTTCTTTTGAATTTAAAAGAATTCAAATTTCTAATACTGTTGTATTCTAGTATTTCTGCACTCGACAACAGGGAGCTAAAGATAGGCGGTAGAAAAAAAACTCCAGGCCACAAAACAGAAGAGTAATAAAGATGTTGGAGAGATTAAAAAAAAAAGCTTTTCAAAGAGGCAGAAGGTAAGAAATGTCAGTATATCAACAAGAGAGTTGTAAATATTAAGGTTATGTTAGCTTAAGCTAGCCCAAAATGATGTGCGGTTATGTCCGTTTGGAGCTGATGTCACTGCGTGTGACGTTTACGTCGCTCCGCGCCGTCTTTTCGGGCCACAGACTAAAACGAACGTTATTCCGCCGTTTACGTCGTGTTACCGACCGCAGTGATATCTGCGCTCCAATGAGAAAGGGGCGTTTAGCTCAAGGTTGATCCGATTTATGAACGTTAATTCCGGTTAGCTGTTCTCTCCCTCCTCAAGCGCTCGGACCGTCAATTTCCGGTAAATAAACGCCTTGCCTTGTGACCAACTGATACAAAAATGATAATTCATGTTATTACACGAGGCACACTATCCTCTATTAAAAATTTAAGTCATATTCAATATTTTAAATAATTTTAATATTAAACGTTTTCTTCAATAGCTTCCAAATCATGTGCTCCATTAACTCATAATCAGTGTGAAATTGTTCTATAATATATTTGACGCACACTCATCTTTATTACATTTGACCCCCTCTTTATTTTTTAACTAATTTTATATTTTAAAAATATTTTTAAACTGTTCATAAAATTATTACCTCAGATAATCATAACAGGATATATTTCATTCTTACCTGAAATACTAAATACAACAAATATTAAAGTGTGATCTATTTCATAACCTTTATTGTTTACTCTGAACTGTTTAATCACACTAAATGTTTAAAAAAATCTTTCATCTGGTTTGATTGTTTACATTAAATGTTTACTGCAAAATGTCTGATTAATTAATTGTTTACTTTAATCACATAAAATATTTGTTTAAAAATATAATCTTTCTTTACATTTATTAACTATTTTAGATACCAAATTTTTACTTAAAATATGATGCATGTCATCACCTGTTTACATGCAGCTCAAATGTTTTATCAATGTTTATCACATTAAATTATGACATGAGAGAAAACAGACACTTCCAACTGTTGACATATTTCAACACAAATGGTTCCTGTTTCTCTTCAGAGTGAGCAGCCATGTTGAACTCTTCTGCTGGGGTTTCCTCCTCAGCCTCTTGCTCCTCTTCTATAGCCTCAATCACTGTGTTTTATAATGAAAAAAGTCTGTAACTTGCTCCCCCTCACTTGTTGATCCACCATGGTCTTGCTGTATCGCCTCTTTAATTGACGCATGTTGGTCTGAGGTTGTGGGTTTACCTCGCAGTGACCCATATTCAGCACTGGAACCCAGTCTGGATTGGGCGTTACAGGTTTCTCATTGCCTGGTGGGGGAAGCAGTGAGAGCGCCTGAAGGACCCGTCACATGCATCACACCACAAGGTGGCTCTAAACCGTGGCATCACTCAAAAATCCCACCAGAAACAGACACAACCTTCATTATCTTGGGCAAAATTCACACATTCATATACACATACTTTGCTCTCTTTTTCCGTGCGCTTCTGATACCTGTTAAAATAAGATATCAATAGGAACATTTGTGAGACAGCAAAGTCTTCAGCATACTCCATAGTGTATTTGCACATTGTAAGCGTGAAAAAGAAAAATAGAAGAAGAGATGAGACAGAGGGAGAAAGAGAGGCACAGAGACATGACCTTTCCCTTTCCTTTCTTCTATCCTCTAGTCAAAAATCTTCTGCCTATGTTTTTCCACTCTAGCTCTTGATGCCGCTGCCCTCTTCCGTTCACTTCCTTTCGCCCTACATATTAGGTGATATTCATTAGCATAAAAATTTAGCCTAAAAATATTTGAAAGTGTAATAAACAATAACAAACATTACATTTTGAATAATCTATACGTTTATCTATTATTGCAAAATGACACTGTTCATCACCGTAATCTTACTTCTCATTACCGCAACAGGCCTCAGATTACGCTGTAATGAGCTGGCTTAAAATTCTAGCATACCACGATGACTCAGCTAAACTCACAAACAGTATGAACTCCATTATTTCTTCTGTACAAGAAAGTATCTTATTAATAACTTTTTAAGATCATGAGGTATTATACATTACGGTAATGATCACCTATAGTGTAAAAAAAGCCATATGGAAAAAGAGAAACTTAACAGTTATCATGATCAAAAGATGTCAATCTTACCTTGTCTTCTCTTCTTTGTGTCATCATGGATCAGAATAACTTTATTTTAAAAAAATGCTGTGAATATTACAGGACTTTTAAATACAGTGCAAGTTGCACCTCCAGACACTCACTTTAGTTAAAATGTTCTGAATTACTTAATAGCAAATTATTACATATCATATTTTATTCATTTATGTACATTCAAACAAATTTATATTTTTTTGTAAACCTGCTTGATTATTTAGAATGATAAATTGGGACGAAAGCGTTTTTTTCCCCCTTAGAACGGTAATGAATTTGTGACTTCAAAAACAGTTAAAAAACATTTTTTAAAAAAACTTATTTTGATAACCAACAATGATCTGTTCCAAATATTCGAAATAATGATTGTTCAAATAAAAGAGGATTATTTTGAGTTTTTTATGAGTATGTCCCTAAAATCGTTTAAGACATTTGATATGTTGGGTTTGTGAGAATCACCCAAGCGACACAGAAGATGAAGATTTAGTGATTTGGAGTGACACAGATGGTTTGGTAAACTTGTTAGCATGTTATTTATGCTACAGTTATATGAATAACTCTTAATACATTTATGCTAACTTACTAGGCACGTTCTCAGTTCGTTATGCGTCGTGTAACGTTAGCATACCGTACAAATATTCAACCTGTTCTTGCCTCTATTCTATTTTTATTTTTAAGTACCTTTCAAGATGACAGGTCTGTTCTTGATTTTGGATTTTATCAAATAAATTTTGATAATTTTCAAAAATGCGACTTATAGTCCGGAAAATACAGTAAATCAACACATTTGAAAATTCATTGTGACACAGTCCAGAAAGTAGAAACAACTTGGTAAATGAATGAAAC